ACAAAAAGTAGAAGAAGAAGGTAAAACACGGCAAGCAAATGTTTCAAATGTATGCAGTCACTAATACAAGGTTTCTCATTTTAGTTTTTTCATTGTGAAAATAATTCACAATACCTTCTTCCAAACCTTGCAAACGAGCAATAAGAATTTCAAAGAAGTTCGTTTGAGGATTGATTTCATAGGTTATAACAAATTCCAGTAATCGAGAGAAATTTGTGATGTTTCTCTTTTCAACACATGCTTTGAAAAATCTAACTTTTTTACGAAAGGCTTTGATTTTATCTAATTGTGCTCCTCCTTTGCCTTGAAGCGAAGTGGTGGTTTTATTTATTATTTCGAAAATGTCTGAAAGGTATCCCAATTTTAGCAGCCAATTGACATCTTTTAATTCTTGGATGAAAGACTCTTCTGTAAATGTGCAGTGGATCTTTTAGTTCAAATAGTCTCCCTAAAATTGTTCCCCTCGATAGTGTGTCCCTGTGTGGAGCAAAAGATTAAAGTAATCTCTTCAGCGGTGAGCTTTAAAGTGCGTGCTTGAAGCGGACGGCTCTTCACATCGTTAATATTTTCACAGAACCATCCAATACGTCTTTCAAATCTCGAGGCAATTCTTTTAGTTGCCAAAGAATGGCGATATAAGATAAAATGACTGCGAGGAATTTTCTGCCACTACCTTTATTCTAGACACCGCCACTCTAATTTTACCAACCATTGCAGCCGCTACATCACTGCAAATATCTATACATTTACTCCACTCTATATCATTTTTTCTTATATACTCGTGGATAGCCGTGAAAATTTCTTCACCAGTGGCATAACTCTTAAGCTCTTCACACATAAGGATTTCTTCTATTTCTATCCCGAATGGAAAATTTACAAACACAAGCAGAACAGCAAGTTTAGCAACGTCGATACTTCCATCAAGCTGTAAAATGAAGAATCCACAAGTTTTTATTCTATTTATAAGCTCTCTTCTCTCTCTCTCTCTCTCTCTCTACAAAGTCTGAAATAGTGTGAATTCTCTTGCTTATAGTGCTGTTTGACATCTGCACATTATGAATCTTCTTGGTCATAATTACAAAAATATAATTACTTACGTCGTCACTTTTCTTCTGCAGCTATATCTAAAACTTCCACTTTGAAGTTTAACTCTAATTTTTACAAAACTCACTTATCGGCTGCAAGAATTAAACTGTAGAATATCTACTACATGTAGAATATCTACTAATAGTCGCGTCGGTCGAATTCGGCTGTTTGTTTCTCGGTCGATATCCAGAATGCACAAGTACAAATAGTCAACATGTTTCGATTGGACAGTGGCGCAGCGGCCGGTTGTTCGACTTTTCTTACATGTTCCACGTCACCCTTGGCAAATGCTTGAAGCACCCAGGGTGCCGCGTCACCCACTTTGAGAATCTCTGCCCTAACCACATGGGTGGAACTTCCTGAGCCTTGCGGCACCAACACAGGGAGTAAACCGCTGCTTCTGATTGAAATTACAATCCATCTACAATCACCTGCATCAAGTCAACAACAATTTAATATTAAAATTTAAATTCATTGCTGCATAATAAATATGATTATTAATATCCTGTTTTATTTGTCAAGCTCATTGTTCAAATTCGCATTTAAGATAAGATGAACTTACAACTGAGAGACTGGGTTAGACGAAGCCTTAAACAATTGGCTCCCAACGTTCGTTGAAGTTTTATTGTTACACACTGGCTCCCAACTTTCTGAAGATAGTTATAATTTGTTTTGTATTCATTCAATTCGATTCCATTCTCTTAATAGCCTCTTCGAGTGTCACATATTTATGTTGTCACTATTTTACATATTACAAGAATATACCGGTGCCGTTTTAAATTATGACAATAGGAAGCAATGTAGTTATTTTATCTGGATTATTGATTTAAGAAAACTCTAAATGAAGCACATTTTATCATTTCTTGCTTTACAAAGAACAGTTAAATATTTTTTGTACAATCAATATTAACCAAGAAATATAAAAAATAACAAATTGAAATCGGCTTCTTGATCTAAAGATTTGCTTATATCGGAAATACAACACATGCCAACTCGGAAGAACCAACGCGAATTCTGATTTTCGTACCCAAAAGTCGTGGACACCAATCACGTCACGACACTTTGTTAGGCATGTCACTTATGGCTTCTCGACAACAGTCAGGAATAGCAAAAATATGCAGTATTGGTTCTTCCTAGATGACAATTACTATATCCGCACTTCTGTTCATATTTTACATTTTAACACAATGACCTAACAAAAATTATTTATAACAATATTATTATTATTTTAAATCTTTCAAAAGGCTCTTCGAGGTCATTCTTAGTGAAAATGTATCAAAAGTACTCGATATACAACAACCATTAAAATATTTTCTGTTCTTTGTATATCACCATGAAATTATTAACACTTGAAACCACCACAACTACCATTTAGTCTTAAATCTGTTTATAAAAACATTCATTTCATTATACACTCCAAAAAAGTGGCGTTTAACTTAATGCTACTTTTTACTTAGTAATAAAACATTTTAGGCGATTGTAGAAATCGAGTAATTGCAACTTTGTCTAAAAACACGTTCAATGTGTTTCATGTATAGAAAAAAAGGAATAACTGTGTTATATGTTCTAGATATTTTAATCGAAACATAGAATTAAAACTTTAGCTGGAAATCAAGTCCGATGGAAAGTACGAATGGAACACTAGTTCAAAAATTTTAATTATTGCAATAGCAGACTTGTGAACATGTGCAGTATCCTGATGACAAAGCACTTTCTCAAAATAATGGAGCATATGGTCCTACAGAGCATACAAGCAACCATAGACGAAACTTTGCTCCGGGAACAAGCTGGTTTCCGTCCTGGCCGACCCTGCCAAATCCTCAATCTGACTTAACATATTGAAGATGGCTTTAACATAAAGCAGATATTGGGAGTGGTGTTCGTAGACCGTTCTGCAGCGTACACTATAAATGACTCCTCTAAAGTGCACACAGTGTCAAAAGACATCAAATTAACCAACTTTATACGATATATACTGCAGAGTCGTCAGTTTATGTAACAGTCCAAAGCCAAAAGACCCGCTGGAGAAACCAGAAGAACGGATTGGCCCAGTGTAGTGTGCTGGTTATTCAACATATACACAAACGACCAGCCAATACATCAAGACACGCTGCACAAGGGAGATCATTTGCGGAGGTGAAGAGGAAAATTTCAAGATCAATAGACAAACTGAAAGTTGACTATGAACGAAACCACCTGAAACCAAACCCGTAAAAAACAGGTATGTACTTACCATTTAAATAATAAATAAGCATATAAATACCATTGTCAGAACACAAACATGAAAGCAATATTAAGAAATTGGAGTATTTTTTTGTCCAACCTGTATTCATATAAATTTCATAAGGTTCTTATTGACTTTGAGGATTGCATTTTAAAATCTTTCTCTGGAAATGTGTATTTGAACTGCAATATTCCTCTAACGAGAAAGGTACTGTTCTTCTGTTATTTTGCTTTCCTCTTTCAATCCCACATGAATTTTAAAATAATATCCGAACAAAAGATCCAAATAGACGAGGTAAGATCGAAGGTATAGGAAGTATGCGTTTGAATTTAATTTTAACCGGCAAAAACGGTGTCCCGTGTCGCCTCGGGGAGTTTGAGATTGAGAACAGCATTCTAATTTTGGCGGTATGAGCGGTTATTCGTCATTAAATGAATCCGTATATACTGCAATCAAAGTATATCTGTAATGTCTGCTAAAGAAAATCAACCAGAGCTGAATTTTTTTAATGTACTCTTTAAAGCAATCAGTCAAGTGTTAAAAAAGATCTATCAGTGAAACAGGGGCATCTTTTTATTTGTAATTTTTTTGTATGTATATCTAAAAATTAAGGTAACTTCTGCTAAATACATATCATAATATGACCATGACCAAGGCAAATTCTTATTTTATTTTTTTTTATTTTCCTTTTTTACTTTGAATAACATTTATTATAGAGAACATTTTGAGATTCAATATTTACTAGGCCATTAAGAAAAATAATAATTCAGTTTTTATTAAGATACGTGTCTTAATGTATAATCTTCTTGTATGGACATTTTTACTTCTGTACTATGCAGTTTAAAATCTGTACAATTTGTTGCCATACTGCGTTTTTGATCCAGCAATAAACACGGCTAATAGGTAATCCCTTATCACAGTATTTTTTTATTTACCTATCTAACAATCTTATCTTCCCTTGGACAATAAATAAATTATTCTAATAATTTTTACTAAAGAACATATAAGGTGAATGTGATTGTTTCTGTTTCTTTAGCTATATATTGGTTTATAAAAAGACCAAATCTTGCACTAACTTTCTCAGCAGCCGAGTACGCGGCTCCAGTGTGAAGACTCTCAACACAAGCCTCGCAGGTGAACACTGCTCTAAATAAGACGTGTCGAGTCATTACAGAAAGCCTTAATCCTACGCCAGTCTCTAAAATTTACGTCATCGCAGGAATAGCTCCACCTAAGATCAGAAGAACTGTGGCCGCAGAGGATGAGTAGGACAAACAAGTCAAAGACCACTGTCACCTCTTGCATGACAACGCCGAATATACAAAATAGCTGGAGACCTCACCAAATGAACGGAAGAGAGAACTTTGCAGGTGACACGATCTGCAACCTCTACCTGACCATAAGGAGAAACGTTGTGGAGAATCAAACTTAACTTTCCTTATGTGAAAACCCCTAAACAAGTTGTAACTGTTGCAAGTATAGATGCTCGAAATATTATTAAAATTTGCAACTTTAAATCTTTTCTCACAACTCAGAAGTACAACTTGATCACCCGTATATGAGAGACCAAGATTAGAACACTAAAAGAAGATAGATATACATCGCCAACATATAACACAGTTCTTTTCCAATCAATATAGGAATATCAGTCATTAGCTTCTTTTACCTCCTCACCAACTCTCCTTAAGAGTTACCGGTTTTCAAGAACTTCGCATTTAACTGTTGACAGATCTATTTCGTCCTCTTCAATGTCTTCCCCTTCCTCCTTGATTAGATTGTCGGAAGGTGGTGGTAAGTTGACTTCCTCTACGAGACTTGGACCACTGGTTGACTGAGGTTTTTCAGTTATGTGGCTGACCACCAACTCTTCGTAATCCATTTCTAGACCTACGGGTGAGACATACATGTCTTCTGCAATGATAAAATCTACACATTAAGTTTTATCTATTCTTTACTTCGTTTAATTTAAAAATAATAAAGATTATATAGCGAAAACATATTTAATCTTGTTGTTTTAGTAGTTTGTATATACGTCAAGGGTACATTTTCAAATGATTTTAAAGTTCCGGTCGAAATTTCAACGAGTTCTACCATGTTTAGGTTTTAATCCGAATAAACAAGTTTTTAAGTAGTAATGCAGAGAAATAATTACGTAAACCTAATAAATAGTGTTTGTGCATCCTATATTCATTGATCGTTCTGTGTATGAATTTGTATCAGCCCGAGTCTTTGACGACGCAGGGTTATGCAGAAATAACGTTATAAGACTTTATTGATACCGATTTATACACTGAAGGTTTGATGGATTGTGAAAAGACGAAGAGAGAAGACTCGAAGAGGAAATCCAAGGACGGTGGGCCGCGCCCGAACCTTCTAAAAGGGATATGACAAGATAAAAGATATGGCAGAAAGGTACAGTTCGCAGGGTGAGCAAACAGTGGCCGCTATTAGTGAACGAAGAGGATTAAAGAAATAAGATGAGGCTACATCGAGCTAAGAATAAAAGTCACAGGAGACAAAGAGAGGCACCGAGAGATGTAAGAGGAGGTAGAAAGATTGAAAGCCATGAGAGCTGGTGCGAGAAATAAATGGCGAAAAAAGGAGATGTTGGAAAATCGTAAAAAGGATATCTGGGAGACACCTACCTAATAGTTGTTACAAAGTTTAAAGAAGCAGAGGCCTCTTTAAGATCGAGTAGAGTCAGAGTAAAGAACTGGATCTTTTTTCACAGATGGGAAAAATAAGCTTAACGCCACTCCAGATGGACACTAAATTCACACGGGAAGAAGTGACGGAAACTGGCAAAACACTCAAAGCAGGAAAAGTGCCTGGACCGGATAGGATATCACCCGAGATAATAAAAATCAACATTGAGGTGAAGGCGCAATGGGTACAGGATATTATGAACAACTTGCTAAGAAGGCAAGAGTTTTAAAGGCAAACCCCACACTTATCACCAAACTTGGTTAGGGACTACTTCACATATAGATACATCAACATTGTTAGGATAACTCTACGAAGACTATGAGCTAGTGGTGCTCGTGGAACATAACGAAAACTGGACAATCATGTATAGAGGTAACCAAGCCATCAACAAAGTGAAGACGTGGGCGGAAAGCAGCGACCTCATGCTGGTGGTCGAGAAAACTGAAGCTACAATTCTCAAGGATACGAGGGCCAGAGACTATATAGTTTTTATCCTTGTGGGAAAAAGGATCTTACGTACCAAAAAATTAAAGTATTTGGGAGTAGTCCTAAATATGAGGCGAACTTTTGGTGAGCACTTTAAATACGTCGTTCGCAGGGAAGACCAGATACTGTCAAAAGAAGAATTTTAACGGAATTTACTGTACTCCGCAGGTCGATTGATTTATTTAGAGCATCAAGTTAAAAATAAAAATGACCATTATGATTACCAACCTCCGTAGAGAGATGACATTCTAAGAAGAAGACCGTACTCTATGCGGCATCGGCATGGCAACAATTACTCAACATCAAGAAATATAGGAGGATGCTAGAGAAGCCCAAATAGAAGTACTTCTAAGGGTAGTACGTGCATACATAACAACATCAACGTGGCCATACAAGTGATCGCGGGCGTGTTACCCATACACCTGATGGCGAAAGAAAGGGCGGAAACCTACGAGAAGGATAAGCAGGAGAAAATATTAGCTAGGAATAGCAGCATAACGGAGTGGCAGGAAGAGTAGACAAATGAGAATAGGACGGCATTCTTCTTCTCATGGCGCCGTCTCCTTTCGAAGGTTGGCGCTCCATAAGGCACATGTAGTTTTGGAAACTACTGCGCGAAAGATTTCTGCGGATGAGCGGTCGAACCGTCTCCTCAGGTCTTTCAGGCACGTTCTGGCGTCTTCCTACTCATCTTTTGCCCTGTATTTTTCCTTCCAGTATAACTTGAAGTAACTCGTATCTTTCGCCTCTCAACACATGACCCAAGTATTGCACTTTCCTCTCTTTCGATTATTCTTAGTAATTCTTTTTGTTTACACATGCGACGAAGTACCTCAACATTAGTAACTCTTTGTACTCACGGAATTCTCAACATTCGCCTGTATATATACATCTCAAAGGCATCTATTCTTTTTTCTATTTCAGAATCCATTGTCCAACTTTCACAGCCATACAGTAAGACAGAAAAAACGTAACATCTGATCATTCGGATTCTAAGCTGCAGACTAAGGTCTGATCTTGTAAAAAATATTTTCATATTCATGAATGTTTTCCTTCCTTGTTCGATTCTTGATAGAATTTCTTTAGGGCGATAGGGCGGCATGGACGGATATTAATTCATTCCAAATATTGAAGAATGGATAGAGTGCGGTGACAGAGACAAATATTAGATAGAAATGTACTGCAAGAGACAGATAGAGAGAGAGAGAGAAAACTGGTTAATCATGTGATGCACCCGTTTGAAGAGGACCTACCGCATGAGTATTCCGCATGAGATTAGTTGATAAGAAGGGAAATGTATGTGTATCTGTGAGCACATCTTCTTTGGGGGATTGAGTGCGGATGAGCCCTTCCACGCTGAATCCAACACAGACCAGATCATCTTTAACGGAACACGGCGCCTGGTACGGCTTTAAAATATTAACCACCTCCTTTCCATAAAAAAAGATACTAAAAATAAATGCTAAATATAGAAAAATGTGCAAAAAAACCTTTGTAGAAGGCGGTAACGTTTGCCTATAATAAGAATTATCCTTGACTCTACTGTCAAAACACTAGTAAAAGACGTACATGAAGACTTATACAAGATGAAAAGGAGTGCAATATGTTTTGACGTTTTTCAGGTTCTCGCTTATATTTTTTCTTGTGTGCTAAAAACTAATATAAAATATGTATATAGTACAAAAATATTCAGTACCTGCACTGAAGCCTCTCCTTTTCAGTCTGGTAAGATCCTGTAAAATCCTCCTCCTAGCGTTTATAAACCAGTTTTCGACTTGAAGCAAAGAGAGATTTGTTTCCTGCATTAGTCTTTGTTTTTCTTGGTCTGTGGGATAAGGGTGCTAAAAATAAGTTTGTTAATGTAGATTAACCACTAAATTATATTACTTTTTATACTAGTGATTAATATATAAATGCAACATGAAAACAGTTTCAGAACCATATTAATATGAAATTGTGATAACTTAAACTACCACTAAAGTATCGAACCATCTAAAAAAATCGTTCTTCGAACAGATAATGCTTTAAGACTTCCTTCGATTGGAAATTTTGTCACTCACACACAAAATTACAAGAATTCATAATAAATAAAATACCCAACTTATTCTTTACAATTTTCATAATGTGAAAACCTTGAATTATCCATGTCTGTCTGCGCGTCCGTAAACAAAACTCCTCCATTATTAAAACAGATACACAAATGAGATGTCGAATGAAAGCTTATAAACCCAAGATGAAGGTAAGAAATTCGATCTCGAACTTCCGGTTTCAGAGGTGCAATCGGGAGTACTGTTTTAAAGTCTCCGAAATAATCCGCAAGTTGTAACCGGAAGTGCCACATTATAGTCGCAAAAATAGTACATATGATATATCAATCGGCGCCTAATGAAAAATCGAGATCGAATATTTAGTTCCGGTTGTGATGTCATTTTTGGTTAAAGTTATGACGGCAAGTTTGGCAAAAATGACTTAAAATGAGTGAAATCAGATATCAATTGACGCAAAGTTACATGAAGAGTTCAAATATCTCCTTCGGGTTCTAGTTCCGGTCACGTTGGGTGAAAATCTAGGACTTATTAAGCCTAATTGTTTGTTTTGTTTCTAAAAACGGTTCGAAGCATATTATCATAGAAATTCCTAATTTTTTTCATAAAACTTGTCTAACAAGGGTTTAAAAAATATTTATTAAGAGTTTTACTTACATCTGTATGCCTAAAAAGCCATTTTTTCAAATGATTTTTGGCCTTAGTGGGAAGGTGTGGCCTCTTTGTTAATATATTTTTGGGTGGTTCTTGTGTAGCTAAAAAAATTATATAAGATGTACAAATATGTTCAGATTATATGTTCAGATGTTCAAATTATATAGGATTTATATAATAAAATTAATAGATCATTGATTGATTTTTCCAAACTAAATGTAAGTACATAAAATTATTATTAAATCTACTTATACAGATCTGTTTTTAAATTAAGGTTATCAAATAGGTTCTCTAAGCGTATTAAGGAAATGTCCTTACTACATCTGTCCTTACTAACTATGTGTTGAATTTTTAATCAGTGGCAGTCTTATAAAAATCGCATTGAAATCTTTAATAACGAAATATATGTCTGTCTTTCCGTAACGAAAACCCCAGCGCCACCTACCCACAAAAACTAGGTGTACAAAAAAAATCTCTGTAGCAGGTGACAATTTGTTTTTAGTTATTACTATCCGTGGAGAAACGATGACAACTATTAGACAAAAGCCAAACACAAGACTATAGGTTATTTGTAGCGCACCATATTACTTCTAATCTATTGTCATCAAAAGTCTATATAATTAAAATGAAAACTAATTGTAATGGAAAATGTAAACTTTTCAGTCGTAGGCCCTTCATTTATATAAATGAATACAGTGTAGGAAAAATTTTATGGTCGGTATGGACCTTACGTGAGATGGAGTGAGAAACAGCTGTTTAGAAAGAGAGAGGTATATTAGGTCCGCCCTTTATATCGCCAAACATGAATGCCTGGAAAGGGGAAGTTCAACGTTGCCAAACTTATTGGATTTATTTGACCTGTTGTTTTTTTTTGCATTTGAACAATGTTCTAAGATAATCTTGGGCGAAATTGATTTAAATGGCAGCTTACTGTTTTTTTTTATTGGGAATATGCCACAAGTTTACTTTACAATAAGTGTAATATAACATTTTGATTTCCACTTTGGAAATCGTTTTATATAAATAAAATTTATTAATGTTTCGTATTTTAAGTACGATTTCCGAATTAAAAATCTAAACATCAAAATAAGCTTATTTTAAAGTCACATTGTGCCTTATTCCCAATATGAAATAATAAACTGCATACAATAACACCACATTAAAAAATATTCATACACAATAATTTATTTGGCAACGTCGTCGTCCGTCTGGTCAGAACACCGAGTAACGGGTAGTAGAGGTGGGTCGTGGTAATTTTATCGTTAAGAGCGTAGGCAAATTTCGGATTAATATTTTTTAAATGCATTCATTTTTTTTTCGAATCCTGATAAAACTAATAAATATTCTTAAAAAATTTAAACGCAGAATGAACCAATACATTATTACTGAGGCCAAAAGTCCCTGAAAACTTCTATAATGTTTATTTTAATAAGTTATAAGGGCGAAAAAAAATTAGTGATTTTTAATTTCAAATATCTCATTCAAAAAACTTTTTGTTTATTCTAAGGGACTTTTGGCCCTCGGTAATAATGTAATCTTTTATTCTGCATTTAAATTTTTCAAAAATATTTGTTAGTTTTTTCAGGATTCCAAAAAAAATGAATGAATTTAAAAATTTAAATTTTTGTAAACAAGTAACTATGATTGTTTAAAAGTAGTTTCAAGTAAGAGAGTACCTACATAAACAAACATAATGGCTAACATGGATAACATCAGATGTAGACCAAACCAAAGAAATTAAGACACGTATTGAAATAGCACGTCATTTATTAAACTTAAAATATTTAGCATAGCATCATTTATTAAACTTAAAAAGTTTCTTTGTTGTCGGGATATAAGGTTAGAACTACGCCTGAGAATGCTTCGATGTTACGTGTTCTCTACTCTTCTTTATGGTCTGAAAGCTTGGACACTAAAACAAGTTCATCTGAATAAGTTGGCCCCCTTTGAATTTTGGTGTTACAGAAGAATCCTACGAATATCATGGATTCAAAAAATGTCAAACATTGAAGTAACTAGAAGGTTAGGAAATGAGGCAGAAATAATATTAACTATTAAAAGACGAAAACTTGAGTACTTGGGACATGTGATGAGAGGGCAAAAATACGCATTATTACAACTTATTATGCAGGGCAAAATCCGAGAAAAGCGAAATGTGGGAAGACGAAGAATATCCTGGCTTAAGAACTTAAGGGAATGGTTTGAATGCAGTAGTGCAGACCTTTTTAGAGTGGCAGTCAACAGAGTCGGCATAGCCATGATGATTTCCAACCTTCGATAGAAGATGGAACTTAAAGAAGAAGAAGTGAAACAGATTGCCTCTTCTAACTCAGTCATTCTTTTTAACCTGTAATAGGTGAAGTTCTACCTAGTTTCCACGTCTTGGATTGGCCGTTTGGGAACTTTGTTATGTTGTAATTAATACTTTAAAAGCCTTTCTGAAGATAAGGTACTTTTTTTTAATGTTTTTTGCAGAATTGTCGAAAAAACGACTTTTTATTTTATCTATTATCAAATCAGTTTTGACATAACATTCCTGAAGTAATGAATCTAACAGTTTTTCTTGTTGGCGGTTTATATCCAGGAATCCACCCTGCAAACTTTTTAAAAGCTGGTCCTTCACCTATAGAAAACGGACGAAACAAGTCTTTGCATAAGTTTAGTAAATCAATAAGTTTAGTCAAGAAAAAGAAACTGATAAAGATGACTTAAGTCCATTGTGTATTTTTGATGAATTAATTGGACATGACTCATCTAAACATACAACTGTATCGAGAGATATACAAGAAGTCGACATGTATTTGTCTGATAATATATTACCCACAATAAATTTCGAACGGAGATTGGAACTGTCCATTACCGTGGTGGAAAAACCATCGCCATGTATATCCTAACTTAGCCACTATATTCATAAAATATTGTAGAATTGTAACAAAATCTTTTCCTTGTGAACACATGTTTAAAATCTGGTTTAATTTTAAATAAAAGAAGAACACAGTTAACAAGAAAAGTAGAAAAACTTGTTTTTAAATGTCAATTTAGACGATTCGCGATTTAATAATAACGTGTAATGTAAATGTAAGTACAATTTAATGTAAATGTAAGTACTATTTGTATTGTTTAATTTATTTTTCAAGTTATAATAAATATTTCCTTTGTTAGGTTCTTTCACTTCAATACTTATACACATAAACGATAATAGCCAATATGTTTGTGTACTCGCTAATTTGAATCAACTAGTTACAGTTTACGAAAAACGGTTCCGATAAAAATTTAAAAAACGGGAGGACCCACCTCTAGTTTTTTAGGTATATTAGGATCGGAACCAGAGAATATGTAAAATATCTCTGATCGGAACTATTCGTCTCACTAATGGCCAATAGGTGTTAAAAATATTTGAGGAGGGGAGACCAAGGGGAAATATGATTGTTATCTTTGTCTATTCGCTGAAAATATGATTTTATATCTGCGTTAGATATCCTGTTAAATTTTACCATACCAACCATAAAATTTTTCCTACACTGTATAGGTTTTAAATGATAAAAATAATTATTTCTGAAAATTAGCTTTATCAATCTGAATCAATAATGAATTGGATCAATCTTTGAAGAATTTGAACACTTTTTCCCTCACACATATGCAGACCCTATCTTCCTGTTTGTCCATTTCTTGGCAGCTAGTGTAGTAGTATAGTATAATAATTTAACAAACAAACAAACTTAAGTATCTACTTACATTTTGAACATATACTGTTGTGCTTCCTAAGAAACTGTAGGCTTCCAAAGGAATCATTGCAGAAATTGCACACAAATTCGTCACTCTTAAACCTATTGCATACCCTACCTCTAGGATAAGGTTTGTGAGGTTTGTGTGGCTTATTCAGCTTCTGACCACTAGCATTACATATAATGTTAAATGATTCTTCAGATACAGTGGTATTAGCATTATCTAATGATTCTGTGGATGGGACAGGCTCCTCACTTTGTATCTTAAAATCAAAAATATAGAGCTATTTAACCATCAAATTACTCCTTTATAACATATGCAGAAAAATATTTCTAGAGATGTAATACAACATAGAAGGAACTCTGTTTAGGCAATTTTAAAAATTTGTTAAAAGTTGCAAAGCACTTACAAAGTAGACACACTTTGGAATCTTTTATAAATACGATATTTTAGGATCAAAAATTTCAGTGGGTAATTGCATTTACAAGAATAATTTGATTAAATCTACAAAAAAAATGATTAAGTTAGTACTACAATTAATACAATTCAATTAGAAGTTATACACAAGATTTTTAATACATTTCAAATCAAAAATCTAATCTAAATAATGATGAGTGAGATAAACCAAATTAGGTCTCTGAAGATCAAGTGCATGACAATTTACACTGTTCTACGTTTATTTTAACACTGAAAATATGCAATTACAAATAAAAAATATTGGAGAAAGAATATCCAAACTAGCATGTATTTTTTTATATTTGGATGATGATTTATTTATTTAGTGTATTTATATAGAAATCCTCTGGATTTAAAGTAATCCATAGATAGGCAGCCAAATATTGAGGATTTGGATCAGGGTGCAAAGCTTAACACAATTAGTACCCCTCAAGAATTGATAAAAAACACTCAACAAAACATTATAGTTTTTCTTGCAATGAAGGTTTGTAATAAAATATTGGAACATATATTTTCCCAATGTTATGTGAGAAACCTTTAATCTTGGTGATATTTCATGGTTTAAAATTATTTTAAAATTCACAAGGACCTTTACTTCTGCTTTTTTAAGTGGGGAACATCGTGTTGTTTAACCAATGATGAAAATGTACAAACAGATTATAATCCACAGAGAGACGTCAGCAACTGAAGCATCCGCAAATATGATGGGCAGGTTTGGACTTACAATGGGGCAAGAATTGATTAACACAGTGTTGCCATATGTGACAAATAAGTACAAATATGAAATATTTGATAAATTTCCTACATAAAAATCCATTTCATGTATGTTCGTATGTGAGAGTACTACATATAAACTCTAGTGCTCAAAATTCAAGAGAAACTTATGTTATGTTTTGTTATTATTTGTTAGTCAAATTTTATATTGCAAATATTTGTTTTATTTTGCTAAAAAGTAAAGCATTTTATTTTGTAAAATTATTTCCTTTTTTTTTAAGCATTATACAAATCAAATATTTTATTACTGCTAGATAATTATAAAAGTAAATGGTTATATAAGATGAATAAAATTGTTTTCAGGTTTCCTAAACTTTGAATGGGCCATACATGAACTGAATATCCCAGATAAGTCTCTTTAAAATCACCATATTAGCTGAGGGTTAAACACAAATTAACTCCCCAATGCAACTTTGTTTATTGATATTTTCATATTTTTCTATTGTGTGATGTATGAGCATTTTTAGATTACTAATCCCAAGGTATAGTTGGAAATTGTATTTACATGTTCACCATATGCTGTCGGAAATACCAATTTTGTAAATCTCTATCATTCATCTAGTTGATTTATGCAGGGGTTGCATGAATCAACTGGATGATAGGGATTACAATGGGAATCATATTTTCAGATGACTACCACTTGCTGTTCTTTGAATAAAGACAAAGACAGTGTTAAGGACAACTTTATGAAACATCACTAATCCCAGACTTCCAGAGAATAGTTCATTATCTATTTGTATTTTGACTTTCTGGTTCCAATATAAATGCGCTATGATTCTGATCCTGTTTATCAATATCATTTTTCCTTAAGATGTTAATAAGATTGTCATGTACAATCTTATCAAAAGCTTTCTCAAAAACAAAAAAGCACATATACATATCTTAAATTATATCCAGACATCTTTACATAAAAGTACATTCATGCCAAACAACATATCTAGTGTTCCAATTCCATTTCTGAACAATAATTGAGGCTCAATTTCTAAATCTACTTTTTTGCAGATTTATTTGCATAACTTTAAAAAAGTTTTTAGTACATGATTTTTAAAGCAATTGTTCAATGTGTGAATATTCTTTAGTAGTATTCCTGTTAGGTATAGGAATATACACAGATATCAGCCACTGTTTAGGCATTAAGTATGCCTGTTGAATATATTATGTTTGTAAAGTTGGAGTTTGTAAAGTTGGTTATCATCTCCATTATTTAAATATTAATTTCACAGCCTCCTCTAATTAAGTTTTTTCATGGCTGGATATTATTTACAGATATTATATAAACAAGAACTATACCTTGGATTCTCCCATAAGGTATCAATATTTTTTGAGTATGATTAAAAATAAATAACAATAGGTTGAGTCATTATCATTTTTATTTTAGTAGAAAATAAGTCCTTCAGACTCTAACTCTAACATAAAATAATGTGCATATAAAATTGTTAGTCAGTACTACTTACCTTTAGAAACTTATCTGGTTCTACAGCTTCTATAGTAGTGGAATCTTCATCATTATCAGTTGGTGGAATGAGTAAAGTCAACTTATTGAATGGAGGTATATCATCAGATGATATCAGAGATAAATCATAGCTAATTTCATCATGACCATCCTGTCCTTCTATATAGTTTTGGATCTTTTTCTCAACAAACAGGCATCTATTTTTAAAGTCATAGGCTGATTTCAGTGCAGTACGGCAGTTGTTGCAAATCACAGGATTAGGAATTAAGTCTAATGCCTAAAAAATTCTACAAATATAGGCTACTTGTTTTTATTTTGCCATAAAATTAAATACTCAGTAGATCCTTGTTTTACACTCTTTAAAATAGGTAGGTACTTCAATTTTTTTTTGCATTCATAGTTATGTATATTTATTTCAAAGATTTGGTTTATTATCAGAGCATTTGAATATCAAAACAAACATTGGAGGTGTAATTTGATAAAAAGTTTTGAAAGGAAATATGGATTTAACGTCACAATGACATATTAAATCAACATGTCATCACAGTTCACTGTCATTATAAAACAAATGAATATTCTAATTTAACCAAAGGTCACTTTGATTAAAAACTAGTTTGTTTTTTATAAAAAAATAATAAATAGTAATTAATATAAAAAATCAATAAACAAACTAACCATTTCAGGAATGCAGGTAGTTAGTTGGTCTCTGTAGGGCATGAACCCAGTAAAAGATTCAACAGCATTTATGTTGAAGTACTTTGAGCCTCTTTGTAACTTTATCAAACACAAACGACACACTTTTGTCATGGTTATTTATTAGTAAAGTCGGCGAAACACTGTTTTTAAAACAACATAACAAACTTTATTATATAAGGATTGTGCGATCTAAGTAGGTGTAATGAACTTAATTTTTTTTTTCTTTAACCAATTTGACATTTACGGTGAATGTCAAAACAAGTGACATTTAAATGTCAAATGGCAGCCCGAGAAACCCATCACTTTGTCAGGAATTAATTTAAACATTTTCTGCAAGATTAAAAGAAAAAATCAGTGTTAGTTGAGTATTCGAATACTAGATGGCACATGTAAAAAAAAAGTTCAATGATTTAATTAGAGTTAAAATGTTTAAAAACATTGTATAAAAAAGTTTATATATAAAAACATTTTAAATAAGGTAATTTAAATACATCTTATAAAGTAAATAAAAGATTTAATACATATTTTTAAAGAAGAACTACTTGTTTCTGGGAGAAAATACTGTATAAAATGAATCATCCTTATAATAATTACGTATATAATTAAATAATATATAATTTCCATCCTTGTTGTGATCTAAACTGCGATACATAAGTTAGGAATATACCTAAGCTAAATATTTAATACAACAATTATATAACTGTATAAATCAATTAAGTCACTTATCTACATCAACAATGAACATTAGTTTTTTGTTTTTATTTATTCAAAGAAGTAAATAATTAAATTCAATTAAATTTATAAGTTGGTTATAGTGAAACCATAAATACCGTAAAATTGTAAATACTTGCTCTTTAAATTGATATTTTCTAAATTAAAAAATGTTTATAAACAAAAAAGTTATTGCAAATTAAACCCGAAAGTACACCCAAGACACTTTAAATCCAACAGTGAGACAGGGAAAATAAATGAAAATATATAATCTAGCATGTCAAAAAATCTTATTTAGGCTGTTGTGTTTTGAAAAAGTTTATTGAGGATATTATTATTGAGATTAATATATCGTTCTCATAACATAATTTTGATACTGATTGTTGCGAACATAGAAACATAGTTTATAAATCATATTTATTGAACATAAAAGACACTTCCAAAATAAACATAAAAGATACAGAACATAAAAAAATGAGTACCTAAACATAAAAATATAATATCTAGGTATGTATCTACCTAATGTCCGTTAATTCAAAATCTATCTCAAACTTAAAAGAAGCCATCTGTCGGCTAGTGTGCCCACAAAGGAAATGGGGGGGGGTGGCATGATGAGCTTGATATCTTTTAAAGAAACAATAACTTCATCTGGAATATTGGGAAATACAAATTTGCTGGTGCCATTCGTTTGTTTTCTAAGACACGAAATTTTATACTCTTCTGACTCATTTATTTTCAGGTCTTTTCCAACATACCCCTTCTCTTCTCCAATTTTCTAGGAAATGCCATGAGAACAAAATCATTTTCTATGAGCTTTTTATGAAGCTCCTCAAATTCATCTGGATTGATTGTATAGTAGCAGTCATCCCCTGAGGATGAACCAAGTTCAAGTTCGCCTCTGAGCTTTCAGAACCATCTTCAAATATTTGTTTCTTGACCTTTTCTACTTATAATACTTTTGCACGTTCTTCGCATTTTTAGTTTTGCGTTCTCCTGCTTTTGGAAACCCTTTAAAAACAGCTGTGACAGCCTTGCCATTTGTATCCTTCTGTTGATTGCTATTTTTTATATAGCCACGAATATTTTATTTGTTGATGTTGATGTACTTAATAGATCGATGGACTTTTTTTCGCTTACATCATCTTTTAAATCGCGAACGGTAACAGCGCTTGGTAGAAAGTCTATATCTGTGATGACATTGGCATCGTATGGATATATACCACACTTTTGAAAGCATTTATAATATTGCTCGGTGTGAGAGCTTTTTCATGAGCAAAGCCGACGCACTCAGCTACCTCATATATGGTGAAAGGTTTACCGGGATGTTGCATCATCCAGGTATCTACAGATGCATTGTAACATATTGAAAATGCTTTGAATACCCCCCACATCTAGTGGTTGCATCTTATTTTGCGGAATAAGGAGGAAATGTTAGAATTGTTACTCCGTTGTCTTTGGCCAAATTAAGAACACGAATACTAAGATGACTTTCATGATTGTCATAGATTAACTTTCTTTAGAGCTGTTAGAATATTTTATAAAATGCTTCATTACTTTTAAAAAAAGATCAGCATTCATCCACCCACTTGAAGTAGCAAGCCCCAAAGTTCCTGATGGGCAGCCTCCGTAGCATATGCTCTTTTAGATGCGCCCTAGGAAAAACCATTGCTGGTGGTAGGTTATTGTCCCGTGGCACTAACGATACAACAAGTGGTAATTAATGTACCTCTCTTCCCACTTCTTACCGTGCTAACTTGCTTCACCCCTTCCTCAGCAACAACCTTTGCTGATTTTTGAACCGTCGTAGTCGCAGTCTCATCCAAATAGTAGATTCTTGTTCCGTCAGCAAACGCATCAGTTCTTGAATATATATTATTCAAATTTTGGTAAAAAATTGAAATATTATGTCTATTAAATGACAGCGCACGGAAAAAACTACATCCTTTCTTTACAGTCGAACATGTCTTTGGCGAAAACCTCTCATCCATTTCAGCCCTGATCTTTATGCCATTTGTCAAGAATTTTATTTTTATTTTCGATTGCCATTTCATAGGCAAGTTTTCTACAATCGTCAACAGACAACTCATAAAACATGCGTGAGCAGCTTATGATATAGTTTTCTAGGGAATCTTCTGCGGACGTAAATCTTATATACTAAAACGCTAAGCCCTTTTCTTGTTCACCACTTTACTCAAAAACCATAGATAATTAAAATATTTTTTCGGAATATTATTAGTATTACGTATGAGATTGTCAAGATATACTTTGGTACAAAAATTTACTTCCGGTTTTGAGATGACCGGAAGTTAAAATTTACTTTAAGTTTTAGACCCCACAATATATATATATATATATATATATATATATATATATATATATATATATATATATATATATATATATATATATATATATGTATCGAAAGGTCTCATCGAGACGAATCTAAATATGTACTTCCGGTTGCGATCCGACACCGGAAGTGACCCTAAACGCGCATAAAACGTCAAGATAGAGCAAATCTGACACCGGATTCGTGATCAGTATGCAAAATTAACTGCTAAATGATATCCATGTCCACATTTGATGAACTAAAAATTGCATTCCGGTTTTGAGGTCGACTTCCGGTTTCGTTTTTATTAAAAAGTAATAGTTTACATAATTCCTGGTGCCAAGGAAAAGTTTTCAGAAAATGGAGACATTGTAACAAAAAACATTGTTTTCGACGAAATATTTCGTGATATTTAATACACTTTTTACTTGCATTATTATTGATGAATGTTATGTATATTCTTGCTTATATTGTTTGTATTGATCTCATAATTTTTTTCGCAAAATAAAAATTTCATTTAAAAAACTCGATGTCGAGTTGGTCCGCTAGTACTTTATTAATACTTTAGTTGGGATTCATCCGTATTTGACTACGTCAACGGATCTGACTTTCTCAACATATCTAGCCAATATCTGAAATGGTATATCTTTCAAAGCAGCTACTTTTTTCAAAGATCCTCCTTCTCTAACCAGGCTTACTGCTTCTCTTATTGTTTCCCCTGTGCAATTTCCAATTTTTCTTTTCTTTGGGTCCATAATTAGCCTGCAAAAAAATATTTGGTCACATTTAGGTACCTAACAGTGAGACACTGTCTCACTGTTGGATGTCTCACTGTTGGGCACGTGTAGTCGGCAGCCATTTTGTAACCTCACTTATACAATAAAATTTATAGAGACAAAATGATCCTACTCTTGTAATCTATATAAAAAAACACTCATCTTTAACCTAGGCAGATCACCAAAATACTTTCTTTTACTTCCGAAAACACGAACTGACAAAATTTGAAAATATTTACGTCTGCGCGTACTTATTTTTTCAAGCAGAGTGGGCATTCTGATTGTTATTATTCTGTACTATAAAACAGTTTCAAATAGTGTAAAAAATCTTGTCAGGCATAAGCCTTTCGATAGCTGGTGTACATTGGTGTAAGGAAGTAATTGGTGGAAGTTATCGCCATTTTCTTCACACAACTGCGCAAATAACGGGATATTCAACGCATTATTTCTGATTCGGTTTACTGCATCAATGACAAATTGGGGAGAATAATGTAATCTTATATTCAAATTTTTAGCAACTAAATGTTGCCAATATATATAAAGGATATATGTAAAGGATCATATGCCAATAATAATGCTTCATTACCAGCTAAAATTGAGTCGTTCAATTGTATAGAGAAATGGGTCGTTTTAAAATAATTACACAAGCTTTCAACATCATAACTTATTCATGATACAGATGTAGGTTTGTGTAGAACAATCTTTAAAACCACTCCAATGGCTGACAAAATTAACTGTTCTCCGATAGTATGCGGTTTTTCGGACTTTGCTATAAGGAACAAGGTATTGTGTGTCGCTCGAAAACCATCATCGTTTCTTTGTGACGATCTTCGTTGTGGCGAAGATTTTGTCCAGTGTGGGTCCCTTTTGAAGTTTCTCTTTATGTTTTTGAAAATATTTCAAATCTTTATCTGTTTTAACGTTTTAACAGGGTGACATATTGTAAGATGATCTTCCAGCTTAGATGGCTTCATAGCGTCATATCTAAAATCTTCGTTGCATAGGAGGCACAAAGACATTTGCTTGTACAACAATGATTGATGATTGAAATTTCTTGCTATTTTATAGACCCCTAATGTTCTTTTCGCCCACGTAGACCACTTGCTGGTTTTTATAGACCCCTGGGGGTCGATATAGATCATTTTGGGAATCACAACCCTCTATCAATTTTGGCCTATTCAACAATCGCATTCTATTCTCTTTTGTCGTTGGCAACTTTTAAGTCTGAACACCCATACTGAGCAAGTGACCAAGCCAACAAATTCTATGAGATTTAGCAAACCTTACTATATCATCATCATAATTTTGGCTTTACAACCCTGTGTGGGTCCTAGCCTCCCCAAGAATTCTCTTCCAGTCGTCCCTATCCATCGCCTTCCTCCGCCAAGCACGTATTTCCATATTTCTCATATCTTTGTCTGTTATCTAGGAATCTTGTTCTGTGTCTTCCTCTTCTTCTTTGACCAATAGGTTTATCAAGGAGCGTTTTTCTAGCTGGGTCGGTTTGCTCCATCCGCATTACATGGCTTACCCACCTCAGACGACCTTACTATATCGGCGTGTTTAATTAACTCGTCCAGCTCAAAGTTTACGCGGATTATGTAGCCCTCGTACTGCTCCCGTACGTGTCCAAAAATTTTCCTGAGCACTTTTCTTTAAAAATTTTGAGAGCATCTTCGTCTTTCTTCAACAGGGTTCATGTTTCACAATCATACTCCACAAGGGATCTAATTAGTGTTTTATACAGTTGCATCTTCGAATTGTGTCCTAGTATTTTACAATCTGTGTTCTTTCCTTATCCTGTTCTTTATTTCTGCACATCAGTACTTTTTATTAATAGGAGTCCTAAGTACGAGAACTCTGCAGCCTTTTCAACGTAGTAGAGACCTGCTCCAGTTTGGAAGAAGTTTTCATTGATTTGTGTTGCCCTTGACGTAAATATATATATTTGGTTTTATCCTGTATACATATCGTGTCGCTTCCTCGAGATTCGGAAGTTTCCTTTATAGACCAATCTATCTGCGAAAAAGTCATTGATTTCACGTAAAAATCATATACAGATATTCTATCTTAATATTTAAAATGTTAAAATTTATGTGAGGGGTAGCTGATAAAAACTCTATGAAAACCGTACAGTTGATTTTGCTTTGTTTTTTAAACAATCTTAAAAAGTATAAAAGTGTATAAAACGTTTCTTATACATTTTATAGAAACACGGTTCAAATAAAAGTGTAGATCATAAAACGTTCTTTATTTTGAGAATTTTCAAATTAAAATACAAAAAATCGACCGAGATAATTTCAAAATCCCTTATTTTCGAAGCGCTTTTTAAATGTTAATAACTTTTGCATAATTACACGAAATATAACTACTCAGAATTGTGGCAGTTAATGTGTTATTAAAGTGTGCTAAATTATAATAGTTGCAAATAGTTTATGTTATTATCGATTTCTGAGAGCGATTATTTAAACGACTGTACTTGCCCAAACAGTCACTTTAGAAGTATTTTGTAAATCGCAATTTATTCTTTGAGGTTTAATTGTTATGCTGTATAAAAAACTTCACCATTTTATTAAATTTTTTGCTAAAAAACAGTTTGAAAAATGGCTGCCTTTATAGCTTATAAACAGTTAAAATAAATTCGATATTTTTTATTTTAACATGGTGGACATTAAGCAATTTACAGTGAGAAAGAGGTTGAGTAATTTGGTCCAACGGCTCGTTGCCCAACAACAGGACCTTTGTTAGTAGCAGCATATTGAAAAAACCGACTCGAGTTTGCTTTATTTGTTGAGATAAAATGTTTTGTTTAGTGATGAGTCCAGGATGGTTCTTTATGGTTCAGACTGTCATATCAAAACGTACAGAAGTGGGGAACGATATGCTGCTTGTGTTCGACGAGCAAGTGTTGCTTTGGGATGAGGCCCAGTAATGTTTTGGGCAGGAATTTCATTCGAAGGCAGTACTGATCTCATGTTTATTGATAGAAGAGCGTTGAATGTTCATCGATACATTACCGAAATTCTAGACGAGCACGTAATGCCTTTTGCTGTGTTTGTGGGCGAAAACTTTATTTTTATGCAAGACAACGCGCGGCCACATGTAGCCAGGGTAGTAATTTAATACCTGGAAACCGTTGGTGTGCCAAAAATGAATTTGCTGGATCAAAGCCCGGCTTTGAACCCGATCGAGCATGTTTTGGACGAATTCAAACGAAGAGTAAGAAATAGAATACCTGCTCCAATAAATCGTTTGCAGCAGCTTCGGTTTGCGCTCATGGAAGAATGGAAAGATTTTCCTGAAGACAACATCCAGAATTTGATCAATTTAATTACAAGTCTAATGAGGAGTGTAATTCAAAATAGAGGTGGTAATATAGAATATTAAAAATCATGACATCATCGTAATTTTATAAAGAAAACAGAAAAAATTACAATGTTAATTTTTGAAATTTCCCATTAAAATCTTCATTTTGAGAGAAGTATTTTTTTTACATTTGTTACACACTGCTTTAGATCATATTATTAAACATTACACAAACATCAATTTTTTGTAGGGTCCGTAATAATTAAAAAATGCCAAAAATTTTAGGTGGCTTCTCTTTAATGACGCAGTGTGTATTAATTATATATACAGATTAATTATATAAGTTTGATTTATAATTATACAAAGTTTATTGTTTTTTATTTATAATTATATAAAAATATATTATTTTTTTTTGAAAAAATGTAATTTAAGCCTTATTCAATTCAAGCAAAACTATGCAAAATAAATATTTATTTTAAATTAATTATTTGAACAAATTACTCGGTTAAATAAACAATTCACAAATTAACTAAATGCATTTTTATGATCTAAGCCATGAGTTACACGAAATTAAGAAAACTGCAATTTTCATTGATTAGAACCGGAGATATTGCGACTTTCCTTAATTTGATGTTTGCTTGCTTTCCTTAATGAATGTTTCACATGTTTCTTTTTAAATTGCTTATTGTTTATAAACAAAGCACCAGTATATTTTTGAAAAAAAAGCTAACTCGAGTTTTAAGAGTCGTAGGACATTGTTTTTTTTTTTAATTCGTGTAAAAATTTTCAGCTTCAAAGCTTCAAAAGCTTTGTTTATGTAATAAACAAAAGCTTATAGCTTTTATTATCACCAAATTTATCAATAGCAGTTGTTAGATAACTGTATCATCGCGTGTCATTAGAAAATCCTTGGCTTCCTGGTCTAAGGAACGTACGTCTTGGATAGGATCTCTTTGAAATAAGTATATTCTGATCAATCTGATTGCTCTGATCCATAGTGGCTGGAATTTTTCAAGTTTCATTATGAATATGTTTATGAGCAAAATAAGTACTGCTAATTATCAGATTTTAACTTTTCGCTAGTTGAGATCATCTTTCTCCATTGGGGTTTGTTACGTCATATAGACTGTGTTGTCCTGCAACACCCTTGCTTTTCTTTTCCGATTTTTTTACGTTAAACTATATTTCCAATATTTCCATTATACTCTTACGTTATATATTACCATCTTTGGATTCAGATTTCAAGTTCTAAAACGTCATATAAAAACAAATCTTTAACAAAAAACTTTATTGACTATTTGGCAACACTTCTTCTTACAGTTGTTATAAACAGTAAAACATAATATCACAAATAAAAAGCTGTATAAAGCTAACCTAACTAGACTTCTGTTATGTTTCCACGTATTCAATTCCTCCATGTACAAAAATTTGTTCCTCAATTCTTGCGGCAGCTCAAATTTGCTGGGCCGTGGAAACAATGAGAGGTAGAAGTCGTATAGTATGGCTCTGACTAGTTCGTTTTCTGACGATTTTGATTCGTCCAAATTGTCATTTAAACACACAAATTTCCTAAAAAAAACAAAATATCATTTTAATTTATGTTGGGTGCAAATATATAATTATTTTTCTGAACATATGCAACTTTCGAAACTTCTCATTGTTTTAATCTTCGTCATCTAGCTCGCCAGATTATCAGATAACCGAAAACGTATAACAAAACGTATTTTAGAGTGGAGACCAAGGCAAGAAGCAATACCGAGCAGAGGATGGCCACTAACTAGATAGACTGACGACCTGAAGCGTGTTAGCAATAATTGGATGCAAGCCGCACAAGTCAGAGGCAGATGGAAAGATATGAAGGAGACCTAGGTCTAACAGTGGACGCATACAGGTTGATGATGATGATCCAGCTCGTAGTATCCTTCAGAGTTATTCCTATTTAACTTAACAGCATATTCCCACCCGGTGCTCTAAGTCACTTTAGCTGTTTTAAAATTAGATTTTTGTAATTGTTTTCAGCCCCATCATTGCTTTCGTTTGAATCATCTTCGTCGTCAGACTAAACTGAGACTGGTGAAGTTGTGTAATCGTGTTTTGCCAAAAACTGCTGCACAACGTTCGATGAATGTATTTGCGCATTACCGTAATGAATACACCAATCGACGCTAGCCCAAAATAGGACCGTTTTCCTCTCATTGCCTCACGCAATCTTTACAGAACTTTAATTCTTGCAATCATGGAAAATGAGGGCATGTATCTAATAGAAAAAGAAAAAGTACTTTGTATAACAAGCTGTATCTTATTCTAATTTGTACATCTTAAATGTCCACAAGGAAAATGAATTTCCTGTAGTCGGTTATAGATTTCCTGTATACCATATACCACAAAAACTTTATTTTAAACATCCTTTATAAAAAGGTATATTTATTTAAAAGAACCCTTTCGGACTGCATCACAGAACGTTTCTGAATTGAATGTGTTAAAAAGATTTATTGCTTGTAACAGTAGCAAAGATCAATATATTGGGGTTCTATCTATTCTAAATATCCTAAAGGTTTATGTTTTAAAATTGTTGAAAAGACTGTATGGAGACGTTAGAAAATGTTTAAATTATAGGTAGGCAAACATCAATACATACATCTAACAAATTGAGGGTAAACTTAAATATTAATAATCAAAAGACTGATATTTTTTGTACACACTTATGACAAGTCAAAAGAAAATGTAAAAAAGTATTTTTGAAGTGTGTATATTTTAGGCAATTCCTAGCTGAGCGCTTTCGGCTTTACAAAGCCATCATCAGAGCTATGCTACAATAAAATGTTCTTATAAGTACTAATTGGTAAAGATTATAATTTTTAACTTACGTCAATTTATAAATACCACTAAAAACATATAAAAAGCCGACACTGGACTTCACAAACACGTTAAAAAATTGAAAAAAAATTTTTGTCATGGTACGGGTGTAAGAACCCGACCATTGATGGATGTGAGGAGGTAGACAGAATAGAACTAATGAAATCAAATGTCTGTCCTTTTAAACGATTTTTCAAAAGTGACAGTTAACAAATGTCATATATAGGAAATAGAGATTGTTTTTTAAATTCTTACAAAATTATTTAATAGTTTGGAATTACTAATAGTCATCAAAGACTTTCTAAAAATTAAATTTTATGTGTTCATCACATCATACAGAATGACATTAGTTTGTAAATTCACTCAAGTCATTGCTCAAGGTTAATGTATGTTCAATCTGACAGCCATCCTTAAGAAACAAGGGCTCAAATTGTTCAACAATAATATAAAGAAGAAACATGGTATTAATGTTACGTTATCTGATACTTAAGTGTATTGAGAATTGTATCTCTTGATGGAAATTTGTAAGAAATTTGCATAAAAAATTTTTTAAGAATGTATTTTCATGTTTGAATTAAGAATAACTGTCAAATGAATTACAAAGTATTGTAAATTTCTAATAAAGTTCAAAATTTGTTTAAAAATATAAAAGTATGAAAAAATATAATAAGATTGCATGAGGTCACCCTTCTTCCTCTAAAGTCTCCCATAATAATTTAAAAAGAGGTTTATAATTGCAATTGAGGTTGATTTGTGTGTTTAAGCAACAATCAGGGTTTAGTTTCATTTCTTTGGATATCTCAAGATCTTCCAAGAGATTCATGAGTCTAAAGTTTTTATTGGGAATGTTGTGTAAAATTTTACTGTTTTCAGAAGGAGAAAAGGAATGATTATTAAATTTAATCTGATATCCAAAGTTTGATTTTTCTGGGTTATTGAGGTGTTCTTTGATTCTTTGATTCAGAGTTCTCATTGTTCTACCTACATAAGTCATATTACAGTCACCACAGGACAGCTTGTAAATACCACTTCTGTTTAGTTTGTCAACTTTGTCTTTGGTCTTGCTGAAGATGGACTTGATGTTATATTTGGTTTTAAAGGAGATGTTTAAGTCACTGATTTTATTAATAAGTACTCTTGAAATTTTTTCTGAAATTGGTCCTAAGTAAGTTAAGGATCTATATATGGAAGTAGTGTTGGATTTTTTATCAACATTAAAAGCTTGGTTTAGTCTCTTTTTGAGTATATATTTTCTAATGACTTCATCAACAGTACTAAAAGGAAAACCATTGTTGTTTGCTATCTGTTTAATGATGTAGATTTCTTTATTGTAATTTTCTTGAGACATAGGGATATTAAGAAGTCTGTGGACATAACATTGAATAGCTGCCATCTTGTGTTGAAAAGGGTGCTTTGAGGATGTTGGTATCATATGGTCAGTTTGAGTAGGTTTTCTGAATATTGAAAATTCTAGTGTAGGCAAAGAAGAAGAGGAGGAAGCATTCTTTTTGATAGTTAGGTCTAAAAAGTTGATAATGTTGTTGCTTTCTACTTCTAAGGTAAAATTAATTGCAGGATGTAGATTATTAATTATTGACAAAATATTGTGAGGTTCTGAAGGTGGGCCTTCTATATATATATATATATATATATATATATATATATATATATATATATATATATATATATATAATATATATATATATCCGGTTTTTTTAGGCGTTACGCCCGTCCGGTAGGGATCTATGGAGGAGTATCACCGAGCCGCAAGCCCTTATCTCTTGCCGTACTGCTCCACCATAGGCCGATCAGATCCCAGCATATCCTAGTCTAAGCCGCAGATTCATCTAGAATTTTAAACTGCTGCGTTAGACTTTTTGTTTTCCGTACACCGAGCTGGGGCTCGACCCACATCCACTGAACCATTCGACAGTGAAGCGAATGAGAGGCAGCCGCACAGCCCGCTGAGCTATCTGACCGACAGGTGGGCCTTCTATAAAGGCTAAAATGTCATCCACATATCTGTACCATAGGATTATTTGTGGTTGAGAATGAACAAAGTTAGTTTCGAGAGAGTCTAGAAAAAGATCTGCAAGTAGAGGAGATAAAGAAATCTTGGGAAAGGCAAAATTGGAGTAGAGAAGTAATTTGTGAACATTTATTTTGGTCAATGGTTTTTCTTTGTAGAAGGTTATTGATGATTGGAATGGTGTCTAATCTAGACATCTAGACAATTTTTTAACGTGTTTGTGAAGTCCAGTGTCGGCTTTTTATATGTTTTTAGTGGTATTTATAAATTGACGTAAGTTAAAAATTATAATCTTTACCAATTAGTACTTATAAGAACATTTTATTGTAGCATAGCTCTGATGATGGCTTTGTAAAGCCGAAAGCGCTCAGCTAGGAATTACCTAAAATATACACACTTCAAAAATACTTTTTTACATTTTCTTTTGACTTAAATATTAATACTTAAAGACCCTATATGTTTTAAATCAACATTATAAAATTACAGTATCCACACATACCCCTGTCTTTAATAATTAATAACTCAGCATCTTACTCATATCTAACAACCTAATTTTTTAGGTAACAAATGTTCAAAAGTTATGAATAAAGGTCGTATACTTTTGCGACAGACATGTGACCAAAAGTTTATCTTCTTCTTCAAGTGCCATCTCCGCGGCGGAGGTCGGCAATGATCTTAGCTATTCGGACTTTTGAGACGGCTGCACTGAAAAGTTCATTTGATGTACATCCGTAGCACCCTCTCAGGTTGCGCAGCCATGACATTCTACGCCTCCCTATGCTTCTCTTTCCTTGGATCTTTCCCTGCATAATCAGTTAGAGCAAGGTGTATTTCTCTCCACGTGTAATATGTCCGCGATATTCTAATTTTCTTGTTTTTATTGTATTTAAAATTTCCATTTCTTTATTCATCCTTCCCAGAATTTCTTTGTTTGTGACGTGTTCTGTCCACAATATTTTTAGAATTATTCTGTACACCCACAGCTCGAAGGATTAAAGTTTTTTCATTGATGTCGCATTCAAGGTCCAAGATTCCATTCCATAAAATAAAGTCGAAAAAACATAGCATCTCGCCAACTTAACTATTAGTTCCAGTTTTAAATCCCTGGTACATAGCACTCTTCTCATTTTGTTGAAATTTGCTCTAGCCTTTTCTATTCTTATTTTGATCTCCTGATTGTAATCATTTGTGGAGTTAATCATTGTTCATAAATATGCATATGTGTCCACTTGTTCGACGTTGGTTCCGTTTATTAGAAGATTCTCGTTATTTCTTTGAGTTTTCGATATTCTTATAAATTTCGTCTTCTTGACATTCATTGTTAGACCATACTCTTTTCCATACTCTGCTATTCTGTTCACCAGTCTCTGAAGATCTTCAATGATTTCGACTAAGATCACAGTGTCGTCCGCATATCTAATGTTGTTAAAGGGAACACCATTTACCTTTATTAAAGCTGTTTCACCTTCAAGAGCGTTTTTCAGGATGTCTTTGGAGTAGGCATTAAAAAGAATTGGCGACAATACGCATCCCTGTCTCACTCCACATCAGTGGAGTGAGATAGGGATGAGTATTGTCCACATAGTCCACATCACTCCACATAGTCAATCTTCTTTGATTTCACGATATTCATTAATTGTTTATGTCGCACTTTATCGAATGCTTTATTAAAGTCAATAAAACATGCGTATATATCTTGATTGATGTTCAGGCATTTTTGTATCAGTATATTAAGTGAAAAAAGAGCTTCACGCGTTCCTAGGCCTTTGCAAAAACCAAATTGTGTACCATTAACGTCTATGTCCAGTTTGTGATATATTCTGTTATGGATGACTTTAAGAAGTAACTTTAGCCTATGAGACATCAAGCTAATGGTGCGGTAATCGCTGCATAGGGAGACAAATAAAAATCGATGTTAACCACTCTTTGGGTAATACGCCTGAAGTATAAATTTGGTTCAAGAGTGTCACTAAAACATCAATGTGCTTCTCATCTAGAATTTTTAGGATATCTATAGAAGTCATGTCAGGTCCAGGGCTTTTCACACTCTTCATTGCCTTTAATGCATGTAATATTTCTTCTTTTGTGATATATGGACCTATTTCGTCTGACGTAAGTTCTATGTGCTTCAGATCTCCTCTTTTATCATCGAACAATTCGTCGATATATTCTGCCCATCTTTATACTTTCTCGTCCGTATGTGTTGTAGTAGTCCCGTGTGTATCCAGAATTGCACAAATGGGATTTTGTTTTCTTAGTCCTGCCAGTTCTTTAACTTTCTTGTGTAGGTTAAACAGATCATATTTATTTTGAAGGTCTTCGATCTCTTTGTATTGCTCTTCAAAGTATTTTTCTTTTGCCTGCTTTATCATCTTCCTGATCTCGTGGTTTATCTCTCTGTATTTATTGTTGTCCTTGTTTTTAAATTGTCTCTGTTGTTCCATCATATTGAGTATCTCGGCATTCATCCATTCTTCTTTTCTCCTTGCGAAAGTCTTTAGTATTTCTTTACAGGGTTCCAGTAGATAATGTTTTAGTCGATCCCAGTACTCGTCAATATCATTGGTGTTTGTGTTCAATTTGTTGCAGTTCACATGCAGTTCATGTTGGAGGCATTCTTTTACTTTAGGTTCTTTAAGTTTTCTTGTGTCTATTGTAGGGATTCTTTGATGCCTTTTAATATTTTTAAGTGAGTGTAACCTTGGCGATAAGTCGATTGTGATCTAAGGCCACGTCTGATCCAGGATATGATTTCACGGCTTCAACAGCATTACGGTATCTTTCATTGATCATAATGTAGTCTACCTGGTTCCTGACTACTTTCTCCGATGTATCTGCGTGCGATCGCCATGTATACAGTCGTGTGTTTGGTTTGTACAAAAGTTTATACAAATATACAAAAGCCTATCTTACATATCTATCCGTATGTCAATGACAAAATCTAATGTTACTGCAGAAATATGTTCTAAAACTACCCACAGTTCTTTATATTACAAAAAAAAAACAAGAATCTAAATAAAGATATGAAGAAACTTCGTTTTCTTTACCTTTTATTCCTTCTAATTTCATCCAAATTACCAACTACATCACTAATATTCGAGTTTAACATCGTAAAGTGTACATACTTATTCTCAGAGCTAGGAACCAACTCAAAGTTATATCGAAACACTTTTTCGAATCGTTCTAATAGAATATTTGATAGATATCGACAATCTTCAATGAGATATTTAGTAATTGTCGGCTGAAAAAAAAAAAATACAAAACAATAACTATATATGAAAAATAAAGTCTTTCAGAAAAGATTTCTGTTATTTCTTTCTGTTCAGAATTATATAGATCTATCTATTTATATATTATCAGATATTTGCATTCAAAATCTGTCCAATGGCCTATAAGTGCAATATTGCCATATTTTGTGACTCCTCTGGTAGCCAGATATAGACAATCTCAAAAGCAGGGAGCAACTGAGCGTGTCTTCTTATTTTTTTCTCCGATGATATAATGCATAAACCTTACAGGGGCGACATCTACATTTTAACTAATTGAACTAAGACTTATGCGTAACTTATGCATACTTTGTTACAATTGATGTATAGTCAATTGTGGATTATCTGTTGATCTGCGACCCAGAAGACGTTTGAACTGAAATAATTTTGTTCCGTCTGCAAAGGTCTATGCAAAATGTCTAAGTCAAACTTGAATCTGATCGACTAGCTTTCCACTTTTGATTATTGTCTATGCAATGTTGACAAATTATCAAAGTGTGCACATCTGATATATGTTTAGACCAAAACTAAATACAATTTTAAACTTTGAAAAACTACTTCTTTATCAGAGAGGTTATTCGTTATTGGGTATATCAAAGATATTTGATATAGCTTCCCATTATGACGACTTAATACTTAAAGAGCTCTTGTAGGTTTTGAATAACAATGTACGATTATAGCATCGTCTAATGTGAGAATCTAATTAATAATTGTTACGTATTATTTACGGATTAAGAAATAATTTACCAATTTTGAGTCTATATATCTCTCGTATAAGGGTGCATGGATTTCTGGAAATTGTTTGTGCTCTGAACAATTCATCAATATTTCTTCAAAATGATCTACAATTGTATAGCTCAGTGGCAATTCATAGATTTGGGTAAGCAGTGTTCTTATCTCTCTATCTGACCAAGTCCTGTAACAGATATTGGTTAATAAATACAAGTTTGAAACATTTATTGACTAAACTGGTTGGTTGCTAAACAGAGCTTTGGTGTGGGACTGCACAAAAACAAATAAAATATACATAAACATACAAAACCACCGGGGTTCAAAGTAGTAGTGATGCACAATACAAGGTGTTGCTTCCTGATAACATCTCTAGCTACTCCTACTCAATTCCTATCCTCACCTCCAAGAAGTGTGGCTTAACCAGACGGATGAACCCCAGCAAACATGAGCAACCTTAACGGAGATTGGGCAACCAACCCCTGTGGAAAGTAGGGTCAGGGCTGCCGAGGAAAGGAGAAATGGTCCTCCGAAAAGGGGGTTGGGCGATAGGCCTCGGAATAGACGGATATCAATTCGACAACTTTGGCAACGGAATATGGAATTTATGCTGGGAACATGGAATGTTTGAACGCTAAATAGAGCAGGAGAACAGAGGATCCTTCTACACGAACTGAAAAGATATAAAATGGGAATCACTGCAGTACAAGAAACTAAATGTTTGGGAAAAGGTATCCGGGACAATAAAACACACACTATACTATATATTTGGAGTAGCCCTTATCATAGATAATAAAATGAAGCACCTGATAACAGACTTTCAAGCCATCAATGAAAGAATCTGAAAGCTTAGGATAAAAACGAATTTCTTTAACATAACCCTTATAAATGTACACTGTCCCACAAATGAACAGGAAGAAGACACTAAGGTAGCCTTTTATCAAGATCTAGAACGAATTTATGACTCAATACCAAGAAACTACATGAAAATGGTGATAGGCGACACAAACGCCAAGATCGGAAAAGAAGAATACATAGGGATAATAGGGAAACATAGTTTGCATAGAGACACAAAAGAGAGTTTCTAATAGATTTCACAGCTGGAAAGAATATGATTAACAGTTCGACATGCTTCCCACACCGGGACATACATAAGGGCACCTGATTTTGATTTCCACTTCGAAAATCGTTCTCGAAATAGAAGTTAAACTTCCGTCCGAGAGCCAAGGGGACTCACCTGAAACAATCACCCCCATAAGTGTAAGGTAAGGGGACTCACTAAAAACAAGCAACCTGAAAAGTGAGGGGCAAGGGGGACACTGGAAACAAGCCCCTTATAAGTGACAGGCAAGGGGAGTCACTAAAAACAAACATCCTGAAGGGAACAAAAAACTATTAAGTCTCCGTCATTGTTCCTCGATTATGATAAACATAGCATTTAGTAAAATCACATACACAATTAATAAAAAACGTTTACAAGCTGTAGAGAAATACTTTCACCTGCGGGAAAGACTTGTTTTTGCAATGAAGAATTGCAATTAGGGCGCGATCTATTGGGCTACTGTCCTATAATTAGATAGCCTACACAACATCAGTAGTGATAATGGATTACGACTGATAAACTTAGCAGCAGCACTGAACATGTCCGTCACTAGCACCTATTTTGAACACAAGAATATACACAAAGGTAACCTGGACCTCAACTAATGGAAGAACAACTAGTCAGATTGATCATATCTTAATAGATTCAAGACACAGAACGGACATAATGAACTGCGGAAGTTATAGAGGCGCAAACATAGACTCACACCACTGTTTAGTGATCTCAACGCTAAGGGCTAGAATTTCAACTTCCAACAAAGAAAAAAATAGATAGAACTGGAATGTACAGAAGCTGAGAGATGCAACTGTTGCAAAATAGTACTGGGAAAATATCACCAATAGGTTAAGGAATCAAAGTCTAAGCGAAGAAGACCAGAGAGATATAGACTCCTACTGGAACAGGATAAAGGAAGATATTGAGTTAGCAGCACAAGATAAAATAGGAACAGAAATTTGTACGTGAAAAATCACTGGTTTGACAATGAATGCAAAGACGCAACACAGAAAAAAATTAAGCCTATGCAAAAATGCTTACTGAAATACTGCAATTCTGAAAATGACACTACCGCAGAGATAAACCGCAGAATTTGCACAGCTAATAGATGCTATTTTGGGCTTAACCTCCTTCTTAAATCTACAATTATATCAAGAAATACAAAAGTAAAACAAAACAATAATATGCCCAGTCCTAACATGTGGTTCAGAAACCTGGACTTTAACAAAAAGCAATGAAAACATGTTAGGATGTTTCGAAAGAAAAATACTAAGGCAAATCTATGGAGCGGTAAATGAAAATGGTGTCTAGAGAAGACGATACAACTTCGAACTCTATAGAATATACCAAGAACCAAATATCAACATAAAACACATTAAGGTAGGACATCTGAGGTGGATCAGCCATGTAATTTGGATGGAGCAAACAGACCCAGCTAGAAAAACGCTCCTTGATAGACTTATTGGTCAAAGAAGAAGAGGAAGACCCAGAACAAGAGTCCTAGACAACATAGAGCAAGATATGAGAAATATGGAAATGCATGCTTGGCGGAGGAAGGCAATGGATAGGGACGACTGGAAAAAAATTCTTGGGGAGACTAGGATCCACACAGGGTTGTAAAACCAAAATAATGATGATAGATTTTTGAAAAATATTGAAAAAATGTTTCAGTTTTTCAATCCAATGTAAATTTCGACCACCCCACTTCTTTTGACACACCTGGTATAAAGACCAATGGCCTAGTCTAATAGCTGTCTACAAATTCAGTTCCACATTTTAAATAAAAACATCTACTCATAAAAAATACTCACATGGACCCATCTGTATCAAACTCATCAAATATCTCCCCCACACTTCTGCTCTTCTTTTCTGATATTATAAAATGATAGTAAGAAAAAGAGAACTGCATATCATTCTCATTTCTCACTCTATTTGTTTCTGTAACTAAAAATTCTTGTTTAAATTTCTCCTCCAGTTGATGCATTATTTCTTTGTCTATCAAAATAGGGGCATGTGCAGGTACTTTTCTTGATTGAAATCCATATTTGTTATTAAAAGCTCTATTTGTATGCTGCAAAGAAGCACTATATGCATCAATACTCTTGCAGTGCTTTGATCTCTCAAAATATTTAGACTTATAAGTACCTCTTCTTCTCCTGCTTCTTCTCTTCAATTTATTTGTTGTAATGACCTTCTTATTATGATTTTTAACCAGTAATGATATATTTTTTGGCAGAATTAAACTGATATGACTCTTGTTAGTACTTTCACTGAAGTTATTAATTTTTTTAAGAAATGATCGATAAAAGTTAGTCTGGACTTTTTCAATAGTCTCTTGAAGAGCAATATTTCTGGTTTCGTTTTCTTCATGTTTATCTTCTAATGCTTCTGTTGTGAGGTCAAACAGGAGCTTTCTCTGAAAGAAAAAGAATTTTAAGTACATGGTTAATGGTTTTTAATTTCATTTATTTCAAATTAGGTACTAATACTATAAAATGGGTACTGATACTATAAAATAAAAAAAAAACAAATTCATAAATAAATATGTACTAATTCTAATTTACTTACACAAGAAAATAAAAAATATATTACCTGTTCTTCAAAATCATCACAATCACCTCCATCCATCTGACACTCTGGCCTATAACAATCTTTGTCACATTGACCATCATTGACATACATCCATAGACAATTTGGAGCACAATTTGGTACTGCCCATGCCAAATATATTAAGAAGCCTTTGCTTCCTGTATAAAAATCATCTAAGTACAATGGTGAACCAAGAAATATATCATCATTAAAGTATATGAACTTTTTGGAAAGTCCTGGTATTCTAAAATATGCAAATTGATGGTGCATATGCATATTCTTGAATGGAATAAATTGCTATCTTATATTACAAAGATCATATATTCATTTATTATTTATACAATTTTATTAATGGTTTTTTGATTCTTATATACTATAAAATATTAAATTAACATAAGTCCATCTAATTAAGTAACCAAATTACTTTGTAACTAATTTAATAGTGGACTTATGTAGAATGTATGACCTTTGTAAAGTAGGTTAGTGAATGTATACCTATGAAGGTTGCACTCAATTGCTGGACTAGAAAATGTTGGCAAGTTTGATACATCTTTAAATATATCTTCATGTGTAACAATGGTAACTTTTTCATAATCCAAATTTAACCAATACGGAATTTGGCCATTGGTCACTATATATACATGGTTTATCCATGGGGCATACTTCTCTAAAGACCTATAAACAACAATATATATTATCTTTTGCCTCCTTAATTTGTCAATCTTACCTGAGAGAGAATTTTAGTTCATATTTATCATCAAATCGTTGCTTAGAAGCATCACAAGTAATATTCCTGTGATCTTTTAAGTATTCATTCAAATTTCTTAAGAATTCTGGATCAGATCCATTTACCCAGGTGTATACTACATCTATGTTTTCATTATATTGGCAGTTTTTTGTACTTGGAGAATAAACTTTGTCAAAGATCTAAAAAACACATCTTTTATGATCAAAAATATTAGTAATATTGGTGTAAATCGCTTACCTCAAATATATGGTAAATAAATATCACTAAAAATAAAGACAAAGATAATAAAAATATAAACCTAATGAAAAAATATCTTTTCAAATGAAAGATCACAACCATTTTATAAGTCTATCAAAGCAACATTATGTTAAAATGAACACATAAGGAATTAGTAGTTCGTATATGATACTTTTGTTTACATACAGAACGATATTAACAAACATGTTGCAGATCTTTGCACTATTTAAGTATTGCAAAATTGAATCAAATAAATAAATAAATCGTAACCTCAAATTGCAAATCTTGATATCTAATCTAATAGCCAATGGGCTTATAGATCTTATTTTATTATTTTCAAAATGACATATTGGCTAAACACCATCACTGATCGAGTCTAATTAGCCTCGTATGTGGATTGAAAGGATTTACATAGGCGCGCGCAATTAATCTATATATTAAAATTATTTTTATTTTAAACTCACTCATATTTTCTCTAATGATTTGGTAAACATTTATACGAAAAATAACAAACTTTAATTTACTTCCTGATATTTGATGACATTTTGTTAATATCTTAATCGCTACATGGATTTTTATTATTATTTTTTGAATACATCACTAATCTGATTTTGATCATATGTCATTTATTAGTACAAAATCTCGTTTGTTCAAAATACTGATAGAAAAATTTATACCTGGAAATTTGATTACACCGCAAAAGAATAATTTGCGATCTTGAATATTTATTTAATCGCATTTTTTGTTTACAGTTACACATATCAACACGTGGTTTTTGAATTTAAATATTCAAATTTAGGGGTGAAATGGAAAACCAAGAAATTGACTGTGTTGAATGGAAAGATAGACGTATAAATAGAGGAAAAACTGAGTCTGGACTAACACACGAATGTGGAGTATTTGGTGCTATTGGTAATGAAAATTGGCCATGTAATTCCGAAATCGCTCAATTTATTTGTATAGGTTTAGAAGCCCTTCAACACAGGTAAGTAATTCTTGAACAAAATATCTGGATGAATAAGTAAGTCAACGATCAGAACAATAAATAATTTTATTCCTGTGGTTTTAGGGGTCAAGAATCAACTGGTATTGTTACCAGTGAAGGTAATAATGATTACCACGTTCATAAAGGTATGGGCTTAGTCAGACATGTATTTAGTAATGACAGTATTTCAAAACTACCTGGATTCCAAGGGATAGGTAAATTTTGTTGACTTAGCTAATATTCATTACTTTAACATATCCCTTTTAGGTCACACAAGGTATTCAACAAGTGCAAAATCTGAACAGGTCAATTGTCAACCATTTGTTGTACATTCCATGCATGGTGCTTTGGCAGTAGCTCATAATGGGGAGTTGGTAAATGCTGCAATATTAAGAAAACAGGTAAGGAATTAGTTAATTATTTTTACATACTTTGATTTTAAGAAATATCTTACTTCTTAACTCGTTGCTGGCTAACAGTAGGATCCTGCATCCCATTTTTATTATACACTTCTTCCTTTTAAGTCTTTAGAATTGTTCTTGTACTGTTATCTAAAATTTGCTCTTTCTTAGCTTCCTCTAGTTTAAATTTAGTGTTATAAGCATACTACTTAATTTTTTCTCCTTGTTTATTTTACATAAGTGATGTATTATTTTTATGCTTCTGTTTCTTTAAATAGTTTTAACTCAATAGGTACATCTATTTTAATTGCATAGTTTTCAACTGTTTTCAATTTTTTTGTTTTTTAATGGTTATCGTCAGTCCAATTATCATTTATCATTCTATTACTGATTTTTTATATGATGGTGTAAATAAGTTTTTTTTTTAATTTTTTTAATTTGATAATTTACCATTATTGTCATTCCATAAGGATTTCATATTAATATGTTCTTAAAATTTTTTGTTTACGTTGTGTTTTAGATTGTTTAGATTTTCTGTTCTTTGCTCTTAAAATTATATTTTTCTTCTTCTTCTTCGTCTAGCCATTCACGTCCACATCTGAACATAAGCCTCTTCAAGTCTTCCTTTCCATTGTTTTTTATTGTACTCTACTTGTAGCCAATTTTTCCAAATTATATTATCTACTTATATTTATTTCCAATTTTTCTCTTGTAATAATCTATTGCTGGCTTATTTTTATTTAATTGTTTTTTTAGTATTTTTGTATGAAATAATTAGTACATAATGTAATGGGAACTGCAAATATATTAATAAAAAGTGATATAGCATGAAAAACAATGAATATTTTGTACTTGAATATGATTTAGGTACTATTATGACAAATATGTGCTGATAAGAAAAGAATAAAAAGAAATCGAGCTATGTGGGCACTATGTTTATGAGAAAATAGACATATAAAAATGTTAAAGAACAACCATTCTTTTATAAAAGTCAGTTCTTAATAAAATCAGACCAGAATTTGCTAAAAAACTGTTGTACAAAAGTACATACAAAGATTAATACCCAACAGAATTAAGTACAACAGACATATGTTGGGGTGTTTCAAAAAGGTATGTCATAAATTAAATCACTCATTCCGGGGACAAAAATAAAATAAATGACTTGACATTTTGAAATAAACATGGACACGTTACTTTCTTGTTCTGAAAGCATTTTTCATAAAAAAGAAACAACAAAATCTAAGCGCACAGAAAAATTTTAAGGGGTGTGTAGTCCTAAATTCCCCCAAACTTTTGAGTATGTTCAAATCAAATAAATTTTGCCTCTTATCACTTTTTTCAAAAAACAGTTTTTATTGAGTTACAGCCCTTTTCATTAATCTTTAAAAAATTATGTGCAACTAAATAAATGGTGCTTAAATGAATTAACAAGTACAAAAAATATCTATAACCTCTATAAAAATGTGATATTACAATAAATGTTCAAAATGACCCCCATTTTCTTTAATACACATTCGGTATCATTTTAATAAGGAAAACCGAATGCTCTGAAAAATCATTTTTTTCTGACGAAATTGATTTGCAGCTTCAATTATTCTAGCCCTCAATTGTTGTTCATCCTCTATTGTTACAGAATACACTTTCTCTTTCATAAACCCCCAAAAGCAAAAGTCCATGGGGTTAAGACCTGGATTTCTGGGTGGCCAAGAAATAGGTGCGTCACGACCCCTTCCAATCCACTGATCAGGATACTGCCTGCAAAGGTATTCCCAGACTTCATTATTGTAATGTGGTGGAGCGCCATCTTATAGAAACCACATATTTTGCCTTATTGCAATCTTCACTTCTTCCAAATACTCTTGTAAATTGTTTGCCAAGAACTGCAAATAATTATCACCATTTAAATTGTTGGGAAAAAATACCTACTGGCCCTATTAGATTGTTATCTACAATTCCTGCCCAAACATTAACTTTGAAAGTCCTTTGGTGATGAGTCGTTTTTTGGCGTGAGGATTTTCGTCGGCCCAAATGTGCTCGTTATGATGATTTGTTATTTCATTTCTACTGAAGGCATCCTCGTCGGTAAACAAAATATTTTTAATAAAATTAACATTTTGAGTGTTTTCCATTAACAACCAATCGCAAACTCCAATCCTTTTAGGATAATCTTCAACCAATATCTCTTGAACCATTGTTAAGTGATAGGGTTTAAGTAGCTGATCCTTCAAACACCTCTAAACTCTTACGCGAGGAACATTTAGTTGAGCAGCTATAAGCCTTGTACTTGTTCCAGGGATTTCTTCAATGATTTCTAAAATGTCTTCATCAGTTGCATCCATTATTGGATGACCACTATTGCCAGCAACTTGCGGTTGAAATGTACCCGATCGTTAAACGACGTTCAATGGTCAGAAATAATCGTCTATCAGGTGTATTTCGATTGAGGTATTTTACTGCATAACGCATTGCGGCTGCTTCACTATTTCCTTGACATTCTTCTACGATATTCTCGATAGTTTATAGAAATCATAATTTAATCTGATCCAACTTACCCAAAGTTAAATGCATATCTGCCATTTCCTGAAATGTGTAGGTATAGAAATCATAATTTAATCTGATCCAACTTACCCAAAGTTAAATGCATATCTGCCATTTCCTGAAATGTGTAGGCCATTGTAATATCAAAATTTTTAATATTAATCTTATTGACACAATAAATGATAGCTTCAAATTATTGACTATTATTGATGGAACTGTTTGTAATTATTGTGATAAGAGGCAAAAAAGTTTTAAAAATAATGTGTTAAACTAATGATGCCACAAAATTCATTTGATTTGAAAGTACTTAAAAGTTAGGGAGGATTTAGGGCAGCACACCTACCTTAAAATTTTTCTGTGCACTGTTGTTTCTTTTGTAGTAAAAATGCTTTCAGAACAAGAAAGTAACGTGTCCATTTATATTACAAAATGTCAAGTCGTTTAGGAGATAAAACAAAAAAAAAACAATTTTTATTTTGTAACTTCAAAGGGCTGTAACTTTTTTTGTGTACACTTTTATACTAGGTAAGTTGGATTCAATCAATTGATTTTTGTCCCCTAAATGTGTGATTTAATTTGTGACATACCTTTTTGAAACACCCTGTATAGTAGTATGTTTGTTGTTGTTTGTTTGTGTTTTAAATGACTGCGGACACTAAATCCATTCGCCAAGTATAGTAGTAGAAATGAGATTTCTTGTTGCAAATGCAGATGCTGAAAGTTATGTAGTTAAAGAAAAATCCATTCAATGTTTACAAACAAATCTAAATTCTGCAGTATTGATAGTTACTTTTTTTTGCTAAAATTTGATTATTGCCAAATGTCTTTCTGTCTCAATTAAATCAGTTAAATGGAAAATAAAAACTTCAGATGGAAATTTCACATATGTAAATAACTTAGAGCTAAAGTAAAGAAAAGTTTAGCTTAAGCTCAAAATATATTTGAGTTGGTATTGGAATTTTTGATATTTTTATATTTGTCTCTTATATTGGCAAAAGCAGTGGATAGTTGAAAACACTAGGAAAAACAAGAAACTTAAGGAAAGGAAAAAAACATGGAAACATTTAAAAAATATATTAATAAATTCAAAAAGCAGTTAGGCAATTAATAAAAAAAAAAATAATGAGCAGAAGTACTAAATAATATAAAATTAAAGCAAATTTAGGGTGACTATAAACAGCATTTATTATCAGTATCATAATTCAGCAATTAAAGATTAAAGAAAAAATACAAATAATGTTCATAAAGAACATTTTTGCTTCATTTAAGGCAGGTAGGTATTGTTTTAGTATTTCATTAATTAAGCAAGATTTTATTAATAATAAATGATGATTTAAAAACTTACATAAATCCATGGTGATTACATAAACATATTTCACAATAATTTACATTTTTATACTGTGTATTTAACAAAATTAAATATTGACACATTTTCAAGTTCATATTTCACAATATATCAGGAAATATTTTTTCTTTCAACTATTTGCTGTGTAGGAAACTCAAATTTCTGTTAAATAGGTAAAGGAGAACAAAGTTCACTGTCTAGAGGTTAAAAGAGATAACAGCAATTTTTTAAAAACTTATCTGTAATTTTAAAAAAGAAATAAATGTAAGATACCCTCTTTGTTTGAAGCCTATAAATTATATTTGAGCCATTTGTAATTTATGTTCCACTGGGATTATATTCTTCTTTTTCTTCGCGTGTCCTGTCAGAATTATCCGACATTGGCGATCACGATTGCGAAGGTTTCACGATCTTCTGCAATATGGAATAATTGTCCCGCATTTGATATCCGAGTTCATTCACGAATGTTCCTCAACCAAGAAACCCGTTTTCTTTCTACACTTCTACGGCCCTCTATTTTGCCTTTAAGGATTAGTTGTAATATTTTATATCGACTTCCCTTTACTATATGTCCCAGATAAGACATTTTTCGATCTGTAACAGTATTCTGTAATTAACGTAATTCTGTAATTAATAAATAAGATAGAGAACTACTGTAACAGTAGTTCTCTATCTTTGTTGACGCTCCTTAGTACTTCTTCATTAGTTTTCCTTGGTGTCCAAGGTATCTTCAGCATTCATCTATGAAGCCACATTTCCAATGGTTCAATTACACCGTCAACACTTTTGCACTGTACAAAATTAAGGACCAAACATAGCGCTTAATCATTCTTTGTGTTAGTTCTAAACTGAGATGATTATTGCAAAGATATGACTTCATTTTCATAAAAGTAGTTCCATCTTGCCAGTTATTGATCTAGGGACCACTTCTGTATATCAATTTTACATTTCTGATTCGAGACTGGGTAAAAGGATTCAGGTCCAAAACATACCTGCTCTGTACCTTCCTTAGCTGCTACATCGGCAGCCTCATTCTCTCTAAAACCGGAATGCGCAGACACGCATCTAACCGCTACTTTGTTATTTTTAGCCTGCAACTCATTAAGAGATTGAAAACATGTTGTTATGTAACTCTATTGTTTGATACATGATTTATCAATGCTTTTAAATCTGATTGGTTATTTGAGTACACAATTATATCAGGATCCTGAATTCCAACTTTGATCATCGTTTCTGCAGCTTTCTCTAGGCGCAATGTCTTCGTGTGAAAAACGGTAACATGTTCACCAAGATATGAGTAAAAGCTAGTTCTGTCGGACAAAGGAAGATAAAGAGTTTACTATTCACGAAGACTATTTTCTCAGTTCATATTATATTCTCGTTTAACATATTGCCGTGCCCTTCGTACCTTGCGATACCTCCAATGCACCCTCGTACCCTTCTTTAAATCTACGATCAATGGTCCAGATCGGAGTAAGACAGTTTTTCAGCATCGCCAGCATTAGAAGTACCCACCTACCTTCTTCACATATATCTACACGGCTACAAAGTCTATCTTTCCTACCAACCAGCCTTTTCTCAGTCCATGTTCCAGATCTTTCAATTCAATACATGGATTTATATGCCTCTCTATCTATGTCCCTCCCATAATGATCACAGCAAGGTATATTTCAAAGGAAGAAAGAAAGATTCCCGCTTGAGGACATCCCTTTCCAATGGACCTAGTTGATTTCACTCCCGACTCCCGCGCACTTCACGATATTTCGTCTGTGTCCCGCCATAAACTCAATCCACTGAGTGATTGGCTCAGGGACACAGTATCGTACCATTGAGAGCTTCAGAGATTCGAAGTCTACATTGCCGAAGGCCCCCTCTATGTTTATCAATAATCCTGTACCAAACTGACTATCAGTTGTTGTTTTCTCTAGTCTACAGACTAGTTGGTGTAGCGCCGACTCCACAGAGCTACTTAGAACTGTACTTATTATCATTCAGAAGACCCGAAATTTCAGGCTGGTCGTGAATTAACCAATATTAACCTTTCCACCATTATAATATAACCCACCAAGTGGATCTGACTTTTTGACAACGATAAAGGAGAATACTGATCCTCGGAAAACAAATAAAAAGTCCAAAAATACAAATATTTAGGATCAATGATTAATAACAACGATTATACTAAAGAAATTAAATCAGAAATTGGACAATCAAGATACACATTTATCAAAATCAAAATATGTTTCGTGTAACAGATATGTCGATCGGATTAAGACATTTAAGAGACTTTTGAGGTATTGTGTTCTCTATAGGCATAGAGTTGTATTTAGAGAAAACGCTATATATTTGAATCGGTAGGCCGCTGCGTTTGGTCTAAAGATAAATGAAAGGAAAAGAAAATGGAGTGCACAAACACGTGTTCGTAAACAGCGTTCATGGTAGGTCTTCTTTTGTGGATATTAGCAATTGTATCAGATGGTATTTTTATAATGTGTTCCCCAAATGGATTAACCGATACTTTGAATTGCAAATGCTTCTTTTTGGTGCGCCATATTTTAAGATAATAGTTTGTTTTCACCTTTATTAATTACGTCCTTTAGCGAACTTCATAAATAAATAAATTTTAAATATAATTTGTCTCCCTTGGCTCTGTACTACTTTCTTCTTGTTACTTTCCATATAAAACCACTTGATTTTAGATAAGATGTTAAATATAAGTTAGATTTAAGAAACTTTTACAGATGTTAAAATAAATACAATTTAACTTACATATTTAGTATCTCAATATAAAGACTTACAATCGACAGAAAAACAATAAATAAGTATTTTACTAATACAAAACTAGTTCGACTCTGTTTTGATGTGAAAACGCACTGAATACAATTAAACGTTTTAAATGTCGGATTTTATCGTTTTGTTCCGAGGTATATACTGTTTTATACAAAATGATTTTCAATAAAAATATTTCAGGTACTAGACCGAGGAGTAGGTCTGTCGACACATTCCGATAGCGAACTAATAACTCAAGCCTTGTGCCTTAATCCACCAGAAGGCGAAGTTAACGGTCCGGATTGGCCTGCTAGGATTCGTCACTTAATGCAATTGGCACCACTGAGTTATTCTCTCTGTTTGATGCTAAAAGACCGGATCTATGCCGTAAGGGATCCGTATGGGAACAGACCGCTATGTTTGGGTGTAATTTTAGCCCCTGGTCAAGAAAGTAAGTATGATTTGTTCTTGTATGAATTATAATTGTAATAATTACAGTTTGATGTAATCTGGAAGTACTACAGGCTCGGTGTGGACCTTAAATGTGATTTCAAATTTATTGTTTGAAAATTTCGAATGTATATGAACGCCGTTTTTGTTTTAATTGCAGGAGTGTTGATGTATCTTATTTTTAGCATGAATGAGTAGTTTCGCAACGTTACTTATATTTGAAAATAAACCAATTTTCTGTGCTTGACTGGACTCAAGTTTGTAACTCATCACTAGGAAATAGCTTTAATAACTATCATTTTATGCCCAGGGTGATAGTTTTGGTGACTCCTAATGTGACTCAAATAAAAGAAATAAATAAAAAAAGAAAATAATTGGAGAATGTCTACAAAATCATGACTCGAGAAACAACTGTACGTAACTTAAAGCAAAGACATAAAGAACTAACAAAATATATAGGGTCATGAAAAAGTTGAAAGATGAATACAACGTTTGTGGATTTTGAGACGATTTGTTATAATAGATGCACAAAATCTTAATTACAGCCCAAGAAAACGCAAATCGCATTACTTGAAAAAGCTACGACTAAAGATGTTAGATTTTTTTTAATTAATTATCTGTAAAAGCTTCAAACAGTTTATGTAAATTATTATTCCTATCTACGAGAAAAACCGGATTGCAATCGTAAAAATTAGTTTTTTTTATCAAATAACTCATTAGAAATAAATTACAAATTATAAAATAAATTAATATAAAGATCCAAGAGAATTGTTTTTTATTGTAATAATTTACTACATTCCTTATCGTTGTTGTTTATTTACACCGTTTTGTTTTGCATTACACTGTATTCATTTGAGTAAACACAAGAATCATTGCCGCTTTAGTCTCTACCAAAAACCAAATGTTGCAGAACACACTATCATACAAGCTAACAATAATATGTTATTCGAAGAAATACAGGTAGTCGTCATAGGCACATTGAGAATGGGAAAGCTGAAGGAATGCAAAAATGATTGCAATATTCTCCTTATGCACCAGGTTCTCGCACTTCAACCACAGAATTCGTTGATTGCATAAACGTTGGATAAAGTAAATTGGACTAAAGGGAAGGGCATTGGGAAATAATTGCATTTTTTAAATAAAAATCTTATTTTTCACTATTGGTTTCAATTTTTGCTAGTTTATTCTTTTTTTTAAGCTATGATTTTTATTATTTTAAGCATTTTTAATTTCTTATTTTTTTCTTTTTTTTTAAATTTATTTTTGTAGTGGTGAACGGGTTAGGGGGAGATATTCAACCAGAGGGTTGGGTAGTGTCGTCGGAGTCCTGTGCATTTATGTCTGTAAGTATATTAAGCTTTTGTTCTTAGTTAAAAAAACAATGAAAGGGATTTAAATTTTTTATTCCAAAGTGACGACTTTTTTGAACGTGACACTCAGAGGAAGAAAATATATTATGGGAAGATAGTCAAAGGATTCTTCTTCTTCTTAGGGTGCCTGTCCGACCGCCTGAACGTTGGCGATCATTCTGGCTATGATGACTTTGTTGGTTGCTATACGAAATAGCTGTGTTGAGGTCTTTCTATATCATGCTCTCAGGTTAGCAAGCCAGGATATTCTTCTTCGTAGTATAGCCCTTTTTCCTTCAATTTTACCTTGCAAAATGCATTGAAGTAGCTCGGATCTGCCTTGATTTCTCATTATATGTCCAAAGTACTGCAGCTTACTGCTCTTTACGATGTTACCAAATCCGCGGTTGTGTTCATCCTCCGCAGTACTTCTTCATTGGTGACTTTATCGGTCCATGGTATCTTCAGGATCCTTCTGTATAGCCACAGCTGAAAAGCCTGAAGTTTTGATATAATTTCCGCCTTCAATGTCCACTTTTCTACTCCGTACAGAAGCACCGAGTACACATAACATTTAAGGGGCCTTATTTTTGTTTCTAGGGTGAGGTGATAGCTCTTGAACACAGAGCTCTTAGTCAAGAATGCATTTTTTTGCCTTTGCCTTTTTTGTATTGTGAGACACGTTCAATTCTCATTTGGTTCACATACAGATTTGCTCCAGTTATGTTTTCCTTGCTGATGATCATTAGCTTGGTTTTGCTGATGTTTATATCCAGTCCATATGTTCTACTTGTTTCCGTTTTTTGTTCATTAAGTTTTGCAGCATTTCTATGTTATTGGAAAACACTATTGTATCATCTGCATACCGCAGGTTATTGAGCTTGACTCCATTTATTGAGATGCCTTCATCAATATCTTTTAGAGCCTCTTCAAAAATGTGCTCCGAGTACAGATTGAATATCAGTGGTGAAATTATACACCCCTGTCTCACTCACATTAAGATTTTGACCTGTTCTGTATACTCTTCATCTATTCGGAGCAGCATTGATTGATTCCAATACAAGTTAGCTATTATTTTTAAGTCTTTTAAGTCAATTCCTGTCCTCTTCAGCACTTCCATCATTTGTTCATGCCTGACTCTATCGAAAGCCTTCTTGTAGTCATTGATACATTTCTGAAACAATACCTGTACGCTAAATAAAGCTTCCCTTATATCAACGGCATTCACAAATTCAAACTGATTGGACGCAATTTGTTCCTCGCATTTCCGCTAAATTCTTTTGTGGATATTTTTTACAAACAGCTTCAGCAGATGGCTCATTAGGCTTATGGTCCTATAATCTTCACAAACTTTTGCTCCTGGTTATTTGGGAAATGGTGCGAATTCAGATTTGAGCCACTCTACTGGTGTTTTTCCTGCCTTGTATATTTCATTAAATATTTCAGTTATTATTTTTATTTGTTCTGCATCTAATAGCTTCAACAGTTCTGTAGGAATTTCATCAAGTCCTGCAGAACTGTTGAAGCTATTAGATGCAGAACAAATAAAAATAATAACTGAAATATTTAATGAAATTACAAGGCTGGAAAACAGGTCAGAGGATAAGTGAAGATTAAAAGCCTTATGACATTTTTATTGTTTTAGTATCGGGGCAGTTTAGACAAATTATACAAGTATGCTACAAATTCAGCTCACATTGATATGTTGAAAAATATGTTTTTTTGTTAGATATATCGTTAAGTTAATTCTTTTAAGTATCCAAAATTTGATGAGTTGAGAAATTCAATTTAAAATTTTATGATTTCATTTATACTTTCTAATTTATAATAATTACTCTGAAAATAGTTCTATTATACCACTGTAGAAATATTTACAAATAAGTAATAATTTTTTATAGTTCACATCAAAATCAAAATTTGTTGTACTTAAAGCTGGTATTTTTAGGTAACAAGGTATTTACGTGAGGTACAGCCAGGCGAAATAGTGGAAATGACTCGTAATGGAATAAAAACCATAGACATAGTGCCTCCGCCAGAAGGAAAGCTTCCCGCATTCTGTATTTTCGAATATGTTTATTTCTCCAGACCTAACAGTCTCTTCGAAGGGCAAGAGGTATATACTGTTCGTGTTCATTGTGGAATGCAACTTGCGCTGGAACACCCTGTAGAAGCTGATATTGTTGGATCCGTGCCAGAGTCGGGAAATGCTGCTGCATTTGGATATTCAAGACAGGTAACTTAATGTACTTTCTCTCTTTTTTAATGTAATCATTGAGAAAATTTTATTACAGTTTGTACAGTGCTGAGGTGATCTAGATTATGAATAATTAATCTTAGATATATAGATATATAGAATAGATTCAAGATAAAATAGAATAAAAAAAAGAACCAGGGAAGAGAACAGCTCCTCAAAAGAAAAGGTCGCCACTGTTTTTAAATGTTCACAACATAAAGAGAAAGACAAATTATTAAGTAAAATATTAAAAATATAATGAACTGCTTTCATTAACTTTATTTATTATAAAAATATTCTAAAACTTAGTTTATTAGTCTTTATTAATTTATTAGTCTTATCACTAATCACTTATCACTAAAAACTAGAACACAACTACTTTAATTTATATAAAGTCTTACAATAATTTATTTACACTATTTACACGATTCTAATTTATATACTACATTTCTGCGTTACAATTAAAACTCGATACAACTATTCAGACTGTCCTTTTAAATATCAAATCGGCCGTTTTTTTTACCTCATTTTGTTTATGTCGAAGCTTCTGCCGGCTTCTTTGACCTTCAGTCGCCAACGAATTTATTGGACCCTTATCTGGAGAGTTCCAATCGCAGGTATAAGACCCTGGGTATTACCTGCTAAAATATACTTGTTAGAAAAAATGTTTACAGTTTAGATATGAGTCATTATTTATCGTAACAATAATAATAAATAAAATATGAAAAAAAAACAGTCAAATATCATATCAAGTTGACAACTTCGAATTAACATTGGAATTACGTTTAGGTATTAACTTCGTACCCACATTGTAATTAACTTCGGACCCACATTAGACCCTAATTAAATTGGAAATTAAAATGTCAAATGAACAGAAATAAAAATATAAAGGTATATAAAATAGATTGCCTTTTATCAGGGGTCTTGAAGACAAAAGTCGAACTTCACTACATACTGGCTTAGAGGAAATATATTTAGATAAAAAATATTCCATTTTATACAACAAAAAAAAATATTCAAAAGGGGATACCGTTACTTTGTGTGTAGTGTATATTTTCGTTCAAACCGTAAGGGATTAGTTACTATATTTACAAAATTAACCGGCGGTAATTTAATCAAAAGAGCAAGTTGGGTTATTTTAACGGGGAATTATACGACAGTACCCATGTGGTAGATTTATAAAAAGGTTCGTTGAAGTTTTATTATATCTAACGGTTGTTTTGTTACAAAGGTGTTAGCGTCCAAGGTTATTTTATGAGAAAACAGTTTATTATCTAATTGGTTCTGTCGATGTTTTAAAAAATATTATTGTTTCAGTCAAATATTCCTTTGGGGGAGTTGCTGACGAAAAATACTTATGTAGGAAGGACTTTTATTCAACCAAATAATCGCATGAGGCAAATGAATGTAGCCTTAAAGTTTAGTAAGTATATATTAATTTTTTTTTGCATTTAGAGTACCAAATTTTGTTTAATATAGTATATTGTAAACCATATATTACATTAAAAGTTGTGAAACGTTTGCAGTATATGATTATTTATATATAATTATTACTAATATATTTGGGTCTTTAAATTTGTTTCTTGTAGACATATTATTGCGATAGTGAATTCAGAAATAAGTTCTTGTAAGGTTGGCAATCAATGGAAAAATCCATCTATATTCCATTGCAATAATTCAGTGCATTTTGTTAAATATGAAAATATAAATTTACGAGATAATCTAAGATGCCCCGCCCTCGGATTCAGAGATGTCGTTACCCAAGTATCGGAAGAATTTTCTTTTTTTATTGGTGACAGCGCGTTTGATTGATCTATTTTTTAATTTAGTATGGACTTTAGTTAGCATAATATGGTTAGTTTTTATTAATCCCGTAGGTCAGAAGTAAAATCTTGAATAATATTAAGAGGCTCTGCACGCCGATAACATTACGTAGAAGTAGATTAGGTTAATCAACATTTAGAACAAATGTGGATGAATGGATGATGAAAGTGAATAGGTCAGGTATGGAAATAATATGCGAACTAATATATATTTGTCTTCTGAAGCTCAATATGTGAGTATTCAGGAAGAGTGGTACGGTTTTTAGAAAAGTGACTGGAGCGACAAGTCCAATTTTTGTCAATAATCTCCAAAAATACTGTGTGGTATTGGGAATTTTTTTTTTATTTTTCATAATGTTAATCTACAACATGCAGATCCGATTCTTAGATAGTCGAGATGAAAAAAATTAGGTTGTCCAAAGGAATTAAGTAATCTTGCATCTTCGTATTTTCTAAAGCTCTGAAGACAATTGCTTGTTGCTTTGACGGATATTGTTTGTTCACAATTGTGATACATATGGTGCACCAGAGATGCGCTGAATATTAGGTTTCATTTTGAATTTTAATGGGAGACATGTATCCAAAATAATGCGAACCTGACTAGTATTTAAACTGGTATATACCACCACTGCAGACGTCTTGAAGCATCTTCCGGAATGTGGAGTGAAAATATTACATCGATTGTGCAATGAAATATGGCACACAGGCGTCTGGCCTGAGGATTGGAGAAAGACCTTAATCATACCTCTTCATAAGAAAGTTTCAACAAATAATTGTAACAACTACAGGCTATTAGCTCTAATATCACACGCCAGTAAGGTGATCCTCTACATACTGCAACGGCGTCTAGAAAACTTCATAAGTTGGCAAATAGCACGTGAGAAGGCTTGATTTGTAAAGAGCAGAGGTACTAGAGAACAAATCCTTAATGTACAAAACATCATAGAAAAAGCCAGAGAATACCAGATCCCGATATTTATATGTTTCGTCGATTATACAAAGGCCTTTGATAATGTTAGATGGGACAAACTATGGAACATATTGACGACAATGGGTGTACCTAAACACTTGACTCACCTTATTAGCAAACTGTATCAAGATAACCTGGCATATATTCGAATGGACGGATATCTGTCTGACAAATGCACTTTGGAGAAGGGAGTACGCCAAGGATGCGTTTTATCTCCCTTATTATTTAACATATATTCGGAGTTCATAATGCGCAGAGTTTTGGATGGTTGGGAGGGAGGAGTAAACCTAGGTGGTGTTAAGATATCTAACTTGCGTTTCGCAGACGACACTACACTTTAGCCTCTACTCCAGAAGAAATTACTAGATTATTAAAAAAACTCGAGGTAGAAAGTGCTAAATTTGGACTCATGGTTAACTACAACAAAACCAAAATCATGGTTATTGATCGCCAACAACAGTTTCCTGAAACCCAAACTATTGCGGGATGCGAGGTAGTCTCATCTATGATATATCTTGGAGCTCTAGTTAACAACACAGGCAGTTGTGAATCCGAAATTAGAAGACGCATTCAACTAGCAAGAGCAGCAATGAGTGAACTAAACGGGGTCTGGCGTGATCGTCACATTACTATGACAAACAAAAAGAGACTCGTTTCAACTCTGGTCTTTTCCATATTTTACTATGCATGCGAGACATGGACAGTCAAAGAATCAGATCGACGACGTATAGACGCCTTTGAAATGTGGACATGGAGACGCCTGCTTCGAATTCCATGGACGGCTCGCCGTACAAATATCTCGGTTCTGGATGAAATTAAACCGGATCAACGTCTCTCCAGTACCGTTTACTCTAGAATTTTAAAGTTCTTTGGCCATATCCATCGAAGTGATCACAAAATGGAGCGGTTGGTGGTCCAAGGAAGGCCTCAGACTCAACGCCAACGCGGAAGATCTCCACAGCGATGGGCGGACATTACTAAAAAGCTTCTCAATAAACAGTATACTGAGGCAATACATATAACTGATGACCGCGACCAGTGGAGAAATATTATCAATCAAACTGTCCGAGCTGCTGAAGCCCAATTATGAACCACAACACATCTACTAAGATGTTAATGACTGTGATGATGATGATACCACCACAACTGATGTTTGTTAAAAATCTACCAACAACTGGTTTATCATTTTATATTATTAAACTTAATAGTTACTGGTATTTTGTAGTTAAGTTCTGGTATTTCATATATATCATTATCACCTTACTATTATAAATAAACTGTTAATAATTACTGCACAAAATTTGCAAATTTTTTTTTGGCTCATTCAGGGCCGAACTCCTCTAAATTTTATGTTTTATTCTGTCCCCAATTTAAAGCAACAACCATCGTATTTGTAAAAAAACTAATTTATTATTATGACTTTATGACATGTCAATTAAATATTCTAGGTCCCATATTACGGAACGTAAAAGGCAAACGGATCATTCTTATAGATGACTCTATCGTACGAGGAAACACAGTAGGACCAATTATCAAACTGCTGCGCAGGGCCGGTGCCAAAGAGGTCCATATTAGAGTCGCCAGTCCTCCTCTGAAATATCCCTGTTATATGGGAATAAATATACCTACTCGAGAAGAACTAATCATGAATAAATTGAAAAATACGACACAGTTTGCCGAACAAGTTGGTAAGTTAACTATATTTAATATTATGTTTTTCTGGAACATAAAGACTAATTGATGCCAAAAAGGTTTATATAGAGACGACGTCTCAGAGTCGGATATGATAGTTTTTACGTTGCCATGAAGTAAATCTGTTTAAAACTTTAACATCATATAAAATTATCAGCAACAATGTAATATATAACAAATTTTGACTACCTATTTTCTCTTGACCCATCCATTTTTGTATTGCATATCCCACTATTGGTCTTATGGTCGTTTTGTAGATTTTCATTTTTGTGTTTTGGCTTATCTTCTTATCTCTAAACATTTTTTATTTCTGTAGAACGCTTTATTTCCTGCTTGATTTCTTCTTTTCATATCTACACTTTCATTTCTTCTGTTGACTACTACTCTCAAATATTTGAATGTTTCAACCTCTTCGAAACTGTGCGCGTCTATCCATAGTTCTGTCATTTGTGTCTTCTTTTTCTTGCTTACTTTCATGTATTCTGTTTTATTTTCATTTATTTCCAGTCCTCTCATTTTGGCTTCGTTTTGTTTGTTAGATGGTTTTCTTTCATGCTCTTTTATCTGTTGCTACTATGCTTATATCGTCCACATATCCTATTATTTGTTTCATCATCCAGTCTCAAAAGACCACTGCTGAACATAGGCCTCTATCACGAGTTTCCAACCCCGTTTGAAGCATCGCCCATCTGGAGTGTTAGATTCTGAAGCATCGAAGGATGGACGTGATCCATTTGTGTGATGTTCACAAGGAGGAATTTCATATGGCCGGCAACCCTGTTTTGACCACCAGAGACAAGACCTTTTCTGACCCAATAATGCCAAGCTGCGCCAGAAAATCTACCGTTACATCCCATTCCACACGAATAACAGCAAGAAATTAAATCATCTGATGAGAAATAGAAATTGGATTCACCTTTAGAGTGAATGCACACTCTGTCTGACATAGCTGATCTCTTATCTCCCGAATTCTTGGGCAATGCGGCCATTGCTAAAGAGCATCGAAACCGTCTGGAATTTCTAGGAGCTTCAAGTTTATGGATCAATACAGGAGGCATATAGTTCTTATGGTTAGCTAATACCCCCATCAATTTAATGATGTATTCCATTGATATGTCCGGAGCAAAATTTCTCCTGCAGTCCATGTGGATTTCGCTTTATTGATAAAGTTAATGAATTCATCAGATAATAAATGGGGTTCTTTTTTAAATACATCTAATGTTATCGCAGAGCAATACGGTGTTAACAGAAGTAACAGCGGAATCATTTTTCTTTATTTCGAAGCAACTATTCTGACTGTGGAGGTTTGAAAACGGGATTAGATTATTTGTTTCTAGTTCCTGCATTCTTGTTTACAGTTCCTGCATTTGACAGCTTTTTTATTATCTTGTCTAAGGATAGAATAAATAATACCGTTGAGAGTGCATTTCCTTGTCTTACTAAATTTTTATTTTTATTATTTCTGTTCTTTCTCTTCTGGTGTCTATTGTTGCTTGGGAATCTCGCATTGTCATTTCTATTATCCTTATAATTTTATTTGGTATTTTACTTTCTTGTAAGTCTTGGATCATTTTTCTTCTGTATAGTTTGTCAAAAGCCTGTTTAAAGTCTAGGAATGTTTTATCTATCCCTTGTTTTTAGCGTATGGATAGCATCTATCGTGAATCTTCCTTTTCTGAAACTGGACTGGTAATTTTCTATTCTTTGTTCTGTGTATATTGTTAGTCTGTATCTAATTATACTAGTCATTATTTTATATGTTAAATTCAGTAAATTAATTTTTCGGTGGTTAAATTAGGCCCGCATATGCCCTCTGCATAAAAAAGGAGACAAACTAAAGTGTGACAACTATAGAGGTGTAGCCTTACTAGACACGGTATACAAAATTTTGGCAAGGATATTGAGAAATAAATTAAATTGCCATACAGAAAGAATCCTACATGAGTATCAGGCCGGCTTTGGAAAGGACAGAACTACTATAGACCAAATCTTCTCATTAAAGGAGATACAAACGACTTGTTATAAAGGTAAAGTTCCCCTGCATGTTTGTTTGTGGATTTTAGACAAGCCAATGATAGGGTCGATAGAGTCAAAATGTATCGAGCAATGGAACATTTGGGTATAACAAAGAAACTGATCCGGCTTGTTAAAATGACACTAAATACTTCTACCTGTGAAATTGCTCTACAGGGTCACATATCAGATCAATTTACGGTTGCAAAAGGCTTGAGACAGGGAGATCTTATCCACTACATTATTCAACTTAGTGTTAGAAACTGTAATCAGAAAATACAGCATGAAGGTGGAAGAAATGATCATGAAAAATGAGCACCAGTTCTTGGCATTTGCCGACGATCTAACGATCTTAGCAAAACCCGAGAAAGAATTTAGAAGAGTTGTGAAGAAAATCATTGAAGAAGCACAGAAATTCTAATTGGAACTAAATGAAGACAAAACCAAATATATGATCATGGGAGGGACAGAAGAGAAAAAAGAAGAGTAGTTTTTAGTGTGAGGTGTGTAAGTGGTAAAAGCTTTAGTTTTAAAAGGGTGGACAAATTTGAATACCTGGGTGTAGTTTTCGATGAAAATGGAAAAGAGAAATGGGAGCTCGAAGCCAGAATAGCCAAAAGGGAATAAAAAATTAGGTAGTTTAAGAGCCCTACTGAACTCAAAATACGTTTCTAGACAAGGTAAATTCAGAATATATAAAACAGTAATTCGACCCACAGTAACATGCCGGTGAGACATGGACATTAAATAAGAAGGAAGAGGATACCCTGGAAAGATGAAAAAGGAAAATATTGAGAAGCATATTCGGAGGACGGAAGACAGAAGATGGTTGGGAGAGAAGAACCAACAATGAATTAATGGCTTTATACAAAGAACCTACCATTACCAAGTTCGTCAAGTCACAAAGAATCAGATGGTTGGGATATGTGGAAAGAATGGCAGCAAACAGAATGCCTAAACTAGTAATAACCAGAAAACTAATCGGCCCCAAAAGAAGAGGTATACCCAGAACGAGGTGGATTAGTAAAGTGGAGGAAGACCTTAAACACGTGAAGGTGAGGGACTGGAAAAGAAAAGCACAAAATAGAAGCGAATGAAGAAATATTGTCCACCAGGTCCTTCAGAGTAGTTAAGAATGTTGTATATACATATTTAAGTTAAAGTTTTGTTTAAAATAATTGTAATTAGTTAATATTAGGATTATGTTTTAAAAAAATGCCCTAAGCCTTAACGGTCTGTTGTGCGTAAAAATAAATAAATTTTTCGGTAGTTTTTACATTCTGTGGTTTCCTTGTTTTTTGATTGTCACTATAATTTTCTTTTCGCATTCTTCTGGCATTATTTTCTTACTCCATATATGCTGTATTAATTCATAAATATTTCTGTATAGTGCCCCCTCTGTATTTTATAAGTTTTGCACATATTTCATCGTCTTTTGCTGTTTTCCAGTTTTTTAGTGTCAATTCTTCTACTTCGTTTTGTTCCGTATTCATTATTGTTTCTCTTTCTTCTTCTCTATCCGTTTCTTGATATATTTCTTCGAAATACTTCTGCCATTTTTCTGCTTCTATATCTACATTAGCTCCGTTTTCCGATACCTAGTACAATGGTTTTAATTGTGTGTTTTAATTTCTGTTTCTACCTCGTTCATAGTTTATTCTACTTTTTTATTTTTCTTAATTAAACAATTTCTTTGTCTCTTTCCTTTGATCTTTATATTTTTCTCGTTCCCCTTCTTTAATTGTGCTTAACAATTTCAGTATTGTTTTCTTTTTTTCTTCCTCTGCTAGTTTGCACTCATTATCACACCAATTATTTTATTTTGCGTTTTATAAACCAATTTCTCTGCTGATTTATTTATTCCTTGTTTGATTTTTTTTCACTGTTCCTCCATTTGTTGTTCCTTGGACTGCATCTCTGGATTTACTTATTTTACAAATCTTCTTTATGCTTCTTTCTCTTTAAATTTATCTAAATCCCACATTCTCTGTGTTTCATTCTTTCGTGTGTTTCAGTGTTTCAGTGTTTCGTCTTTCATTCTTCGTTGTTTTTATTTTATATTTTGTATTCATTAGCATATGGTCCGAATCGATGTTGGTTCCCCTGTGAGATCTAACATCATTTATCGATTGTTTGTGTTCCTTTTTAATCAGTACATGGTCTATTTGATTCCCCTACAGACTTCCTGGTCTCATCCTTGTTATTTTTGCGTATGTCTTTGTATTTATATCTCGTGCTACTTATCTCCCTGTTGAATGCCTCTGCTAAATTACATAGTCTTTCTCCATTATTGTTTGTTGTCTTATGTATTGAGTTTTCCCCTGCAACCTCTCTGAAGCAATTTTCTTTACCTATTCGGGCGTTGAAATCTACTATAATGATTAGTATCTCTTCTCCACGGATTTTCTAGACTAAAAATTATCTTCTAATAAATTTGGTTTTATCAAAATAAAGCCAGAAAAATATCTTTTATTTAACTTAAAAAGCAAGATATACCGAGAAAATACGAAACGGAACCTATGACCAAAAATAACTATGCTTTTTGCCAAATTAATTTAGTTCTTAGCATCTGACAGCGGGACCCGACCCATAACAAGAAATAGTATTGCAATGCGGAAGGCACCCACCCCAATCAGTCGTCAAAGGGTTGATTCCTATCAATGCACAGTTTTCTTCTATTTTTTTTTTACTTTTTTGTACGTTCAGTGATTCAGTTTAAACAGTGAATAAAGCTTAATTATACAAGTTTTTGTTATATTGAATATGTTTGCTGTATATCTTGCATACAATATTCTTGCAAAATCTCCTCTTTGACGTTCATTAAATGAATAAAAAGATCACTTACAATTGCAGTTTTTAACTTTACACACTGTGAAAATTTCACTAAAACCGATGTCTATTTCAACTATATTATGACCTTTTATAAAGGATTTTTAGCCGACTACAAAAAATTCATTTTCGTTGTGGAAGGAGAAACTATATGGTTTAAAACTTTAACTTTTTTGCAATCTGAACATAAGTTTGAAGTTAGAACATTAATTTTAGCTAAATGGAAAGGGTAACAGGTGTACCCAAATTTCAGTCGAATTATATTAGTTACAAAAAGAATGTTTTCAAATTTATGTTTCTTTAATACTGTATTATTTTTTTTTAATAATTAATGGTAATAAACCAGGAACTGTAAAAAAACTAAGAAGCACAAAGGAAAAGTTTCAGAACAGTAAAACTCTAGACTATATTGATAAATACTCGTTATTTTTTTTTTCTTTAGATGCTGACAGCATCGAGTATCTGAGTGTAGATGGATTGGTAACGGCAGTTCGAAAAGAAATCTATGTACCGAACAGGAAAACGGGACATTGCACCGCATGTTTGACCGGAGATTATCCCGGGGGTCTTCCAGAAGAGTTGAGCTGGTAAAGGAACTAAGAAAAATTAAAACGAATCTAACCTAATAGAATTATAGAATTAAGAGCAATAGTATTATAGGTTTAGGAGTTTTTATTATATAGGCCTAAAAGGTACTAGATTTTAGAAAATATTTGGACATTGTTTAAATGTCTTTGTCTAGGAACACTCCAATAATATAAATAAGTTATTTCCTCTTTATATTTAACACAAATTTAAATGGTTCTGATTTTATAGTCTAGGAGAAAAGTGGAGAAGCTACAGCCTATCTACCATATGGGTAATTTTCTCAAGTACCGTATATGCAATTTATAATTTAAATAGGAATATATCGATTTCAATCGATCCTTATTCTTCAAGTTTTCTGTATTCTTCGTAAATATGTAGTGATATCATTCCACTAAGTGTACTATCAAAGACGTTCGTCCCGTATTTGTGTATGTTGTTTTACTTCTGAGAATGAGCAACCCGTTACGCATTTTATTTGGTCCGACGCAGTGTGAAAAGAACAACTAGCAAAAGAACAGAATAGCAAATGAGACTTAAGGCGTCGACTGTCCTTAGTCAATTGTAAAACCAGCTAGTGGGCGTGGCCTACATATAGCTGGTAGCATTGGCTCCAGTCAGCCGGCGCTGAGAACAAATTCGCGCGAAATCTACCATGTGTAGCTAAATAATCATTCCAACCAAGCTTGTAAACGTAGTTTTAAGAATCTGAGGGTTAAGTAGGGCAGCTGAACATTGTTTACAGGTGCTACTGGGCGCAAGCCCTCGGGAAACTTACTGGTCCGTCAGGGAGATACTGCTCTGCCCTGTTAAAAGGGTAACCAGAAACAGATACTGAGCCAGTAAGTCGAGAACACAAGTGGAAACCTCACATTGCACTTAGGAAGCGAATAACTGCGTGGGCCTGGGAAGATACCCAGAAGTTTATTGGCAGCGGCCAATAGACGTGAAAAAACAGAGTCCTTTAAGTAGTTGTTCAAAAAATATTCTCTGACCGTACTCTACTATGCCAAAGCCGATAGGCTTACGAAGTTGAGTTCCCTCTCCTTAGCTCAGCCCACTCCATGGCAAGTATCCCTCACTCAGCGGCTTCTATAACATCAGAAGCTGTTACCCAGTTTCACAGCGATTTTGATGAAATGAACTACCTCAACGAAGATCGCGTGGACGATATCACCCAACTCGAATATTTTGTATCTAAAATGCAAAGAAAAATAAATTTCCTCAACAATAAACAAAAAAACATTCCCAAATCCAAAAAAACACCGCCATTCCCAAAAAATCCACCCAAAAATCTCTTTCCCGACCCTCGTCTAGAAATACTAACATTCCCGAGCAAAATCCGGCCAGAGGCGTCTCCCCTGCTCCTGGAACCTCCAGCTCAACAAACCCTCAAAGGAATAACACCAATCGCCCTCCCAGACCGGACATTTCTACGCCAAAGGATGCAACAACACCCTCCGCATACCCAGAAGTGATTTTATTTGGTCCGACCATTTCATTGTTGATCTTCCTCTGGATAGTTTGAAAGCTACGTTGCTTTTGTTTATCATTATTTCTTTACCCTCCCTGTTCAGCTTATGTATGGAAAATATCTCAGTATATTAAATAAATCACTAAATTAATACAATAACTTTGTTAGTTTTAACATCACTAGATAGCGTCAGGTATTTTCAGTTCCAAATCACTCATATTAAAATAATTTGTAACTCATTACTTTATATAATATATGGATACATAGGGTGATTCTTTGATAGTTTAAATTAGACATTTTAGAGAAAGTTGACATAATATCTGAAAAAGGTTTTTGTGTAGGTATGCCCAGTTATTAATCTAAAATATTTAGAGCTTTTTAGGAACTTTGTTAATATACAAGTATGCTACCTTCCACCCAGTGTTTTATGAGATATGACCAATTTTATTATGCAACATCTAAAAACTTTTAATCATTTAATACATCTAATTAGTTTCTTAAACATCTAATTAGAACTCACAATGAATCACCCTGTATAAATGGAACTATTCATATCTCGGCCCGCAATACTCTCCCGGTATTTCGGGCTTTTACTCTCATCAGACAGGATTTGCAAGGAAGATGAGATCAGAAATATCTGTTTCTATATCGATATACACGATATGTTGCTAACCGCGTCGCATAATACAGTAGCCTGCCTTTTTAAATAATCATCGCGAATTTTTTATCACGCTCTCTAAAAAGATAATTAGTGGTTTCCTATTGCCAGTCTGATCGTATTGTCAGCACCGATTGAACCAAGATGTGGGTGTCGCCTGTATTTCGTACTAATGCTAACTGTTCAAATAACCAGAACAGTAATAACATACCTATTAAACTATGCTATGCTCTCAGTACTTATTTGGTTAGAATCAATTCGTGCCCGCCCTGCATATCTACAGAAATATTACCTATCATCTATTGGGAAGCGCGGTCTTGGGGTTGAATATTTCCCCGTTCAGTCTGTCTTCCGAGAAGCCATTACCTACTCAGTTTAGTTTACCCTCCTTTACGCAAGTTATACCGGACACGTTAAACAATCCTACTCTCTATTAAAATAATAATTCCGTCCTGTAAATAAGATTAGTTGTAATTACTCAATTTAATGAGAATAACCCAGAATGTTAATTAATAGTACGTTATATTTGACGTTTGAGGTACAAATATAAACGTCAAATATAACGTATTTTTAATTATTTCAATTTTAGAAAGTAAATAATACAAACATGGCCCAAAAAAATAGTCTAAAACCATATTAAGATTTGATTGTAACGTAACAGACTATATTTAAAGTGAAATCATTTATAAAGATGATGTTTTTGTTCATCAAGATGCATAGCTTGCTGGTATAAGTTAGTTACCGAAAGCATCTTGCGAACATATATACATACGATATGGATCTTTAAGAGTAGTGTAGAGTAGTTCTCATTCCCAAACAGAACAATGAGCAAGCATTCGTCACAACACTCCATTGATCAATTCTCAGTAATATTCATAAATACTAAAGACGCAAGACGTTCTTATCAATTGGATGATAGCTTATAAAGAAGCCATATACTCGAACGACCTTCATTGAACACAATGACACTTTATATTATTGTTTTGTGTGCTTTACGCTAGTCGTAATTATGTGCAAAATATATCTTTCAGGAAAGATTTCCTTAGCTTAAATATATATAGGGCAGAGAATTCAAAATATTTGAGTTCGGAAAGGTTTACGCAGTTTATACCAAATTTGCATTTTGCTATTAATGCATATTTATATTATGAACATGAGTTGAATTCAATACTTAGACATAATCTATCTGGCAGGCCATATTTTATATGTAACTATTGAAACTGGCCGTGATAAGCGGGAAAAATCATATACGTTACTTTAAATTTGTCATGAAGGGCGAGGTAGGAATGGGAAAATAGATCTTGTAGCCGAATTAATGAACGTCTAAGCAAAAAATAATATATTTTATGTATGAGACAGTAATAAGAATCTATGTTGTGTAATTTGAAAAATTCTACGAGTTCTAAAGATACATGTCAATAATGCTGCAGTATACTATATTAAATTTTAATTTTTTTTATTAGGTAGGCAGTATATAATGATCCTGAATATTTGACTTTATATTGTATATTGGTGCTGTTACATTTTGTCAACAATTTGATTGTCGAACTTTTTTTACTATTGTATACGGGTACTAAAAAACTGATTTTTGTCTGTTACTGAATACTTAAAAGTTCGACAAAGTCTAATGTAGATCTGATTTTAATATTTGTTCAATTTTTTATACTCTGTTTAAACCAGTACTTACATAAAATGTTTAATATACATTACAGAAATAAAATATATGATTTTAAAAATAAGTGTTTTTCTTCCCTATTCTAAGTATACATCCAAAATTGTATTGGAACCATCTAAAACTAAAAACTAATGTGATAAAATAATTAGTAAAAGGTTTTCGTCTAGTTTAATGGAGCCAGCAGATGAAAACTGAAAATATGTACACCATTGCCACGTTTACTCTATGCCGAAACCATGGAAGTTGAATCTTATGTTCAACAGTGAACATAGGGTCTAACAAATTCCAGAAATCGTGTGTATGAAAGTGATTTCTCTGATAAGAACAGGCCATTTTTTTATTGTAGAATGTGTATGCGCAACTCCTAAAGTATTTTCAGGTCGTAATAATAAAAAGATCTCTAATAATATAAAAAAAACTATACTGAAATTATGGAATCTCCTGAGATAAACTGTTCCGCAGGCAAACTGAGCCTACGTTCGGATTTCCGGGTGAGGACTATTTCAGGTTTCACATCATTACATGTTAGAACAATCTGGATAGGGTCTTAGAATCTTGGAAGTCTTACATATAAGAGTATGGAGTTGATAATCATAGAGACTTAAGACAGATCTGCACGGTGGAGGTTCCAGAATGAACGCGAAACTTCTAGTGAATGACCAGCAATCGCTAAATAGGTTATGTTTATGAAATTTTAAAGAATGTATTAAAGCAGGTGTACAATAGTTTAATTTTCGTTTAAGAGATAAAATCGATTAATAAGGATGAAATTGTTTTATTTAAAAGTTTTCCCAGAAAAAGATCTATCCTTAGAAAAACTGCTACACCTAAAATAATTTTTGGACCAAACAGGAAGTGTGTCTCAAACGAAATAGTCTTACTAAAAGGGGATAATTATTTATTAATAAGGCACAAAGAATATCAGCTCAATGGCTTCATTCAATGTGAAGTGATAGAGAATTTAAATAATTTTCGTAAAAATTTAATGTGTTAATTATATTCGCATTTAGTGAACTGTAACTGAAACCGTTGATTGAATAATCCAAAGCTGAAACCAAGAAGAAAATTAAATTTTTACTTTAAATGAACTCTTCGGTCATATTGAAAATATTTCTATAGATATTTTAAAATTTTAATAAATAATTTAATGTTAATTAAAATTGTCAAACAATATTTGAATAAGAATAAAGAGCTTTATTTTAAAGATTTACATTAAGCTTTGCTTTATAACCGTTACTGTATACCGAAAATATTGAACTCATGCAGTTCTAGAGTCTAGAAATAGTCCAGTTTTATAACGAACAGATCATGTTTTATTATTTATCTGATTTATTGAGAAAATATACCATTTAACTAAGAACTAAACCCACAAGATCAACACGAGGTGCTTTTATATAAACCTAGGATAAAAAACTCCGAAAGAATGATTTTCAGGACATCCACACATTACGTACCGATGACTCATCAGCTGTTCTCGCACAGCGCGCAGTGAGCGGTACGGACGTTCCGCCATTTCAGTTAGTTGTTCAAGTGATTGATAATGGATGCCTGTAAACTAATTGTTGGTGCAAAACTACCTTGAACAATGAATTTGACTACAATTTGCGTCATCCAGAATATTTTAATATCATTTGACCAAAGAACAACTGCTGGGAAGAGGTTGGATAGAGATCTAATGAATGAGCAAGGCAAGCTATTTGTTTTATTAACCCGGCACCTGCCACGTGACTTTGCAGAACGTCAACTGCCACGTGAGGTGCCCATAACACACCTTAAAACTTTTCTGTGGTCTACTTGCTTATTAACAGAATAATAGGCTGAGTAACACAAAAATATAAAAAAAACATATTTGACAAACTTATTAGCTACTAATACAGTGGTACCTCGATACGATATACAAGCGCCATACGAGTGTTTTGAGATACGAGCTGCGGAGCGAGTGATATTTTGCTTTGAGATGAGAGCATGATTTGAAATATGAGTAGTCGGTTTTTATTCAAATTCATACCTCTTATTTGACTACATCGTAATTTTGCTTTGTAAATAAAAGGTAGTTTTACTGGTAATAGATATTTACGGCCTCGCCATAAAGATCATTTTACGGGTCTGTACGTGACTATTACTTGGACCGACAAATTAAATGATCATTGGAAGTTAAATCCCACAAAAATTCGGATTCTAATACTAATCATATTGCACTCTCGATGTCGGTGTAATTTACACTGTGTAAATTTTTACTATAGACCTCAGTCTGTCTGCTTTGCTTGTTTCACTCATTTTCGAAGTATTGTTGATAAGTTGGGTTCGCGTTTTGGGGTTTTTTGTACATTACAATATTACATTTATTTTTAAAACCATGGGTTCGAAAAAGATGATGTCTATTGAAATAAAACGTGAAATCATTGAAAAACATATGCAAGGTGTACGAGTAACTGAGTTGGTGAGAATGTACGGGCATACCACATCAATGATATGTACTGTACTTAAACAGAAGGAGGTGATAAATGGTATAATGTCAGCTAAGAACGTTAAAATAATTTCTAAGCTCTGGACTTCTTTCCATGAAAAAATGGAGAAACTACTAATGGTGTGGCAGACAGAGAAGCAGCTTCAAGGAGGAACCTTAATACAAAGCATCATATGTGAGAAGGTACGAACGATTTACAAAGATTTGCTGAAGCAGATCCCACACATTTCCACAAATGATGAATCGGAAGACTCGTTTAAAGTCAGTCGGGGCTGGTGTGACAACTTTAGAAAAAGGACCGACATTCACTCCGTCGTCAGGCATGGTGAGGCAGCAAGTTCGGATGTGAGAACAGCTAAGGTATACATCAAAACGTTTTTCGAACTCCTAGAAGCCAAAAGATACATCCCCCAGCAAGTCTTCAACTGTGACGAGACAGGACTTTTCTGGAAAAAGATGCCGAGTAGGACTTACATAACGGCAGAGGAAAAGACGATGCCAGGTCACAAACCTATGAAAGATAGATTAAGTCTACTACCTTGCGCCAATAAGAGTGGCGACTGTAAAATCAAACCTTCCATTCAGAAAATCCCAGAACCTTTAAGTCACATAAGATTTTAAAAGAAAAACTGCCAGTTGTGTGGAGGGCAAATCCAAAGGGATGGGTCACCAGGAAATTCTCTGTGGGGTGGATAAACCTGGTGTTTGTGCCTCCTGTTAAAGAATATCTACAGCAAAACAACCTAACCGTGCAAATCCTTCTTGTCCTCGATAATGCTCCTTCTCAACCACCAAATCTCGAAGATAATTTACTCCAAGAGTTCAAGTTTATAAAGATTCTCTACCTACCAGCCAACATCACTCCTATCTTGCACCCCATGGACTAGCAAGTAATCTAATTTTAAGAAGTTGTATACTTTGAGGTGACGTAGAACAAAAACCTTACCCTTCCGAGAGTTCTGGAAGGACCACTTTAACATAGTAATATGCCTAAGAATTATTGAGCAGGCCTGGCTAGATGTTACAACAAGGACTTTAACCTCTGCATGGAAGAAGCTGTGGCCTGAGGCTGTAGATGAAAGGGCCTGCGAAGGACTGGAATCCGAAGTGTCAGTGATAGATGAGATTGTTTCTCTTGGAAAATCCATGGGTCTGGAGGTGGATGAAAGAGATGTGAATGAACTTTTCGATGAACAGTCTCAGGACCTGACAACCGAGGAGTTAGACGAACTACATTCGCAGCAGCATACGGTAGTTCAACGAAAAATTAGTTTTGAAGAGAAGCCAGAATTGGAAGACGTTGTCTCTACAAAAGATATAAAGGAGATCCTGGGAATGTGGGAGAAAGTTGCAGAGTTCTGAAAAGACTTACAACTCGTCGTGCAACGGTGTTGTTCAACGAAACTTGCCTAACACATTTCCGTAATATTCTGAAAGGGAGACAGAGACAAACTTCCTTCGACAGTTTTTTTAAACGATCTGCAAATGAAAATGAGCAAAGTGTGACGAAAAAAGCGAAGACCCCTGATGAAATTTAAGCGCTTCCGTAAGCAGTTCACTTTTTCTTATGTTTTACAGAATATGTATGTACTTTGTGTTACTTATAAATAAATGTTTCTTTTTTAAATACATTTTTCTTATTTAAAAACACTTAACAGAAACAACTAACGTGTTTTTTTGGGTGCTGGAACGGATTAATGACATTACAGTTAATTTCAATGGGGAAAATTGCTTTGACATACGAGCAAGATTACGGAACGAATTACACTCGTACGTCGAGGTACCACTGTAAAGTTAACAAACAAAATTAAAAAGTTATTATAAATAAATTAAGTAAAGCTCATTAGCAGTTATCGTCGAATTCTTGTGATCAAAACACTTTTCATAAATGTGTTTCATGTGATTTAGGCACATGTTCTGGTAATATTTTTTGCAGAAAAATTTTGTTTTTTTGTCATCTTTCCTCACCTTTTTTCTGAGCGGTTCTGTTATTTCGTTTGATTCAGTAGAGCCTCCATATATTTTGTTGCCTTCTCGCGTATAGTACGAGGAATGTGTGAGTTAGCTGATCTGATTTTCAACCAATTTTTTCCAAGATCGAACCCTAAGTCTTGCAGGTAAATACTCCGTTCAATTGTTTTGTTGTTAATGTTATTCGAAGTGTGGATAATACGGCTATTGCTGCCAGCTTTGTCAAGCATTCTAAAAAATACATTTGTTGTATTATGTCCACCTTCGACATGTTCTGGCAGTGGAAGATAACCTGCTTAGCTGATCCACCTTGTCCACGCCGGACCTGGTTTGGAGGACACTGATAAGCTGCTCGCGGTACTAAATAATAAAATTCCCACCAGGGCCAGTCTACTTTATCAAATGCAACCGGCAAAAATGATAATTGAGAAGTAAATTTGCGTGCTAATAAATAAATAAATATTAGCCGCTTACCATCAAGTGTATACGAACTACAAAATGTCTGCCCTGACAATATTATTGAATTTGGATTATATAGGAAGCTCTATAAATAAAAAATAAAACTTAAACAAAATACATTGATACATTTATTCATATATTTATTT